GAGACTGGCTGCCATTATCAGTTTCAAATGGCAAAACCAATGTAATCCCGTTAGCATTAATGTACGCCCACTCAACAGGAGAACTGTCAGGATATAGAAGCTAACCTGGTTGGAGTAAACTAAATAAAATGACATGTCTCAACTCAGACCCGCTCTTGGTGGAGTTGTTATCGGTGATAAAGTGCGGCTATTAACAACATAATCCAACGTACGACTCATGCGTGTGGCCTATCATAACACTATTTAATGGCATTGTAGTTTAACTAGCTATCGTTATCTTAATACTTCCAAGATAGCGTGAAGGGGATTTCAAACGTTAGCTAACGCGGCTACTTCCAGCTAGCTGGCTAGGGTCGGAAGAAGGGTTGTTTGTAAATTAAAACTATATTCTCAGAGCTTCTGTGGACAAATACAGTAATGTTAATATACAAAATGTATCTCAGGCTGGCTATGTACCATTAAATGCCACAGTTTATAAGCCGACTGGCTCACGTAGCATCAAAACAAACGTGATACTAGTGCAAGTGCAATGACGCCGACCCAACGTAACGAGAGCTCCCACTGGTAAAAACATCTTACCTATTCAGTAGATTGAGATTCAACTGCGGCAAAATGTTTCAGAAATACTTCAGCACATGCACTACACACTGCGATCGATCAATAAATTGATCACTGATACGGGACATGGCTGTACTAGATAGTTTCGTTAACAAATTTCCCCAGTGTGGTCAGCTGACTCTCACCAAACAAGTGAGTAAGTCTCGCGAGAGGACATTAGCGTTACTTATTTTTTCAACCTCTTAAAGAGGCAGGCTGCGGCCATGGTAGTTTATTTAGCAAATTTAGATTTATTTAAAAGGTCCAGTTTGTAACTTTTAGGAGGATCTATTGGCAGAAATGGAGTATAATATCAATGGTTAGGTTGTCAGCAGTGTACAATCAACTGAGAATAAGAATTGTTGTGTTTTTGTTGCCTTGAATGAGCCGTCTTTCTCTACAGATGGGAGCGGGTCCTCTTCTACATAGGGAAAACCGCCATGTTTCTACAGTAGCCCAGAAGGGACAAACCAAACAGTGGTCCACTAGTTTCACCTACACTTTTGGAAGATGTGGGTGAGGCAAGGGGTATTCAGTTGGTCGCAATCTGCAACTTCACTGTGTGTCGTACACACTGGACCTTTAAGTTAAGGCATGTAAAGTACACATTAGGAGTTAGTGACATCTCCCAAAGTGTAATAATATGGATGTGATGATAATATATTATGAGGCTTGGGATAGAGTAATTCTGTTAGAGTTTATTTGTCAGATGGAAATACAAAAACATCATAAAACACAACATTTTTCAATGTGTAATCTTTGCTTTGTTTTAACCTTTACACTATGCACTATGAATCACACTGTACATTACCATAAAGTTAAAAATAATAATAATAATGACATTTATTGAGACTTATTTTTTTGAGCACAGTATGTGAGCACTATGTTTCAGGAACACTGAAATTAGTAATTCAGTCCCATGTATGTTTTTAAGCTTATGTAGAAGAGGTCATATATTATAACACAAAACATCCAGGGAGTGCAGTCAGAATTCCTGAACTCTTTGGAACAAGTTGGTTGAGGAATGAGGAAGTCAGAGTCTGTATGTCTACCAACATACAGCTAAAGACTTTACATTCTTTAAATCATAGAAATTTCAAGTCTCAAATCAGCTTTTAAAAATATTATCACTTTGTACCTTCTACTATGCAGCAGCACATTTGCCAAGCGTATATAGTAAACAGAAACTGTAGTTATGTTTATGAATAAATAGTCACACGTGCTTTGGGGTGCCCTGACATCATCCTGTAGGCCAGGTGCACTGGTTCAGTCAGGTTAGCCTTAAATGTGTACACATGAGTCTTCCCGCTGACGGGGCTTATGTTGTAGAAGCTCAGCCTGTGGGTCTTGAAACTCAGTGTGATCTCCAGCCTGCGTGACACTGTGGTCCTCTTCAGCGGCACACTGTGGCTCTGCTCAAAGGCCGTCAGCAGGTTGTTGAACCACATCAGACACCAGGAGCTCCGGCTGCTTTCCAGAGCAGAGGGCAACCCACTACGTGCTAATTTCCCACTGTAGCACACACCAATGATCCACGGAGAACCTTCCAGCTCAACCTGCCAGCAGTGATCACCTTCGTAGAAGCTCTGGGTGCTGAGGACCTGGAAGAAGCTGGTGAACCTCTGAGGACAGGATGGGTAGGGCTGTTTTGCAGCGCTGAAAGTCACTGTCTTCAAGTCTTCTGAGAGGACGAGGTTTGGGTGGGCAGTTTCTGGGTCAAAGGTCACCTCTGAAGGGTTGAGGATGTTTCGAAGGGAGCGCTGAATCTCTCCAACTCTTTCCCTCAGCTTGAAATTCATTTTTTCCAGCTCGGGACAGGCTTCTGCAGCATTGACTTTTGATTCAATGCGGTCTTCCTCTTCTCCGACAGGCGTGGCCATTAACTCCACGATGCATGGCTGTAGAGTCCGAAGCTCGTCACTAAATTCAGTCGCATCCTCTTCGGTCAGGAGGGACTCCGCTCTGAGCATAGCATGTCTCAGCTGCTTGGTCAGCTCAGAAGCTTGATCGACTCGGCTGCCCACAGCGGCCTCACCTGGGCCTAGCTGTTCTTCAATAATCTGCATCACCTGTACGCTGTAGCTCTGTGACAAATCTTTTATCTGCCCTAAAAGTTTGGATGCTTTCTCTCTCAGCTGACCATTTGCAGTGGTCACCTCAAACTCGCGTTCCTTCTCTTTCCTCAGCACACTCTCTGCCATCTCCAGCTTGAGGCTCAACTCTGTGACTTGAGATGCCAGTCTGAATTTGGGTTCATCCATTTCTGTCTTGGCTTTGCCACTGCCTGTGGATCCAGACCCAACCTGAAAGCCATCCTTTCCCTTACAGCCTGAACTTTCTTCCCGGATCCCTCCTGCTGTTGCTGTGTCCTGGTGATACTTTGTGTTTGATTCTTCTGTAACAGACGTATCATCGCTCTTGATTGTTACATGGCTGATATCAGAAGGGTTTGCAGTTGAGTTGATTTTCCCATCAGTGGCTTTGTAGCTCTCTATGATGCTGCACATTTTAAAGCTTCTCACAAGGGCTTTGGTTCCCGGGTACTCTGCCTGGCACTCTGGGCAGCTGTGTTGGTCAAGGCCTTCTCCCATGGTCTGCAGGCAGGCTAAGCAGTAGATGTGACCACAGGGGAGAGAAACAGGCTCAGAGAAGAGCTCCAAGCAGATGGGGCAAGTCAGCTCCAAAGCCAAAGCTCCTGGATGAGGCTTTTCAGAAAGGTTTGCTTCAGTCGCACTCATGGTGGCAGATGCTGGAAAAACAGACAACTCAGGGTATTTCAGATATATCTATGATTTATTATACGTGCACTGTATTACATCCAGACTGCAGCTGGCCTCATCAACAAGGCCTGAACCCCCACTGACTGCTCAGTCACTACATGTTACAGCAGTGCAAAGTCTACGCTACATTAACGCACATCATTTGGATTACTATCTACTTCTATCTTATCATACTGTGAACTTTTGCACATTCCTGTACAGCTCATACATTTAAATGATACATAATGTACTTATTTTGTTACATCTTTTTGTACTTTATTGTCAATTCTTTATTTATGTAAACTTTAAGTACTTGATTTTTATATTTCTTTATATTCTTCTTACCCTGTTTATTGTTATGCACCAACACACCCGGACAAAAACTTACTCAGCAATAAACCTGATTCAGATTTAAACTTGGCTGACGTATTTGACTCTGTTTAGATGGTGAACTTTCTATATGATATGATAATGAATGAATAAACATGACTGTGTAGGTGAGTGAAAGGGGACTTGACCATTTTTTGTTGGCCTTAAAGTAATAAAAAAAAATATGGGAGCCAGTGTGTAAAATATCCAATAATGTATAAAAAATATCTACCAAGGATAACTTCTGAATGTGAATCTTAACTAGTCCAGATGGCAGCATCCCATATTCCCACAGGAAATATTGCCTACATTAACCTGAATGCAGGCACGTTGCGCATCTTTCCTGCAGGTGTAGGAGAAGGTGAGGAAGTTACCGACACCAACAGGAACGACTCAGTGCGGCACAAGGAAACCAAACACTTTAAGCGTGCAAGTAGATTCCAAATCACTGGCCACAATGTGCAAAAGCTAGGTTTCAACAAATGTAATCTATTATAAGTAGGAAGAGCTACAGGAAGAAGTGTCAAACGGACATGAAAAGTGACAAACAAGGTCCAGCAGTCAACAATGTAGGTCATATTGTTTCTGCGTTGTCAGGCTGTTGGTTAAGTTTCGATTTCCTGCGAGCAACAGAATCTCCATGTGGCCAAATTCACTAAAGTTTCGCTTTCTTCCGTTTAATTAATCACACACTGTTAGCGTGATTCTGCTGCAAGGAATACGTTTGATTTTAATTAATGTCACTTTACTTCCTTAAAAAAGAATTAGGCCTACATTAATATTCGTTTGCGCATCAATTAATGCGCAGCAGCAGAAGACGCCTCATTCTGTACGAACAGCTAAATACAGAGCATCAGTGTATTCTTTAAACACGAAAACCAAAAACAAAGACTCACCTGTTCCAACAGTGCTGTCTCGCGTTGAGTCTTCCTGTTCAGGTAGAGTCAATAAAACGCACTGACGCACAGATTAGCGCTCTAGACGCATTTCACAAACACCAACACCCCCAGCCATTGACAGAGCAACATGTGTCAGCGTGACTACATGTTTCTGTTTGCCAAACCCTTACCCACTCTGCCCCCACTAACTTATATGGTAAACGTCATCATGCCCTCAGAATTGGTTGGTTAGCATACAAAAATAATTTGTCTAAATATTTTATCTTTTATTGCACACATATATAATTTTTAGATAGAAAAGAAAAAGTTTATTACATGTAAATAACAATGGAACAATGAATAACTTCAAACTGGAGGAAAAAGAAAACAGACAAAGTTGTATTTTATACTTATTTAATATTTCTATACATTTAGATTAAAAGGTAACAGCAAAGTCCTCAGCTCCAGTGCATCTCCACACAGTTAGAGGATGCAAGATATGCAAAAATAATAAATATAAGTGTCTTTATTGTACAAAGGCACAGTGCCAGGCTGCTGGAACTTCCAAAGTCTGTTTACAAGTCTCTGCAATAAAAGTCATTGTCAGTCTGAGCCATCTCTGCATTCATGTAGTGTACAAACATTTCTAAACTTGGTAGTGTCATACCTAAAAGGAAGTGAAATGTGCATGTTGTAGTCCTACAATGATCATATGCACAGATAAACTTGTAATTGCAAAATATAATGCTACTGTCCTTTACAACTCCTCCTCCACCGTATTCATCTGCAGGCTTGACAGTTACCACCCCTTTTGCTTCCCACACAGAGCTACAAATAGTTATGACTCAGGTGAGTCAAACGTAATTAATAAAGGCCTTTGTGCTTGTCTAACAGAATAATGCTCAGAGCGACCCCCTTATACTTATTAAGGTCAAACAGGCTCTAGAATAATCCAAAGCATTTTAAATACATTCTCACACCATATTTGGTCGCTTGGTACATGTAGCTATAAAAACCCTCCCCACAATGCTCGGGTCCAATGACATTCCCTGTTGCAAACAACACACAGGCACACTCTTAACTGAATGGAGGATAAAAGGCTTGTTTTGTAGCTGTGTGTCTAGGTCTGTTTGAGCTTTGAGGGGGGGAACTGAACATTTCCAGATCAGTCACAGAAAACAGATCATTTTAGTTACAGTTTTGGCATGTGCAGGATTTAAGCTAATACAGCTCAATTTCTATCCAAATGTGTTTTTGGTAAGTGTTTAGAGCTGACATGTGTGACAGTGTTAAGAGTTATCATACCAATACACTGTTTAAATTCATATTTTGGAATGACTATGATACTGGTACACACTAACAAAAAACTGAAACAATCCAAAGGCATATATGCTCAGTTGTGTCAGGATTTCCACATGTGTAAACAGCCGCAGTCAGTGTAAGAGCACTGATACTGTGTTCTGCATAATGTTTTATAAACTTATTTTTTAAATATAAAGTCCATGCATTTATTTGTCTCCGTTTCCAGTTTGTTCCGTGTCTCATAAACAGGCACTACAGTTGGCAGGTCTATCAAAGGCAATACTGAGGCATGCTGGGAAAAATCCATTGAAAAGGGAGAAAACCAACCACAGTATATGTTCTTAGGTATGTTCTTTCCTTGCCTGTGTGTGTGTGTGTGTGTGTGTGTGTGTGTGTGTGTGTGTGTGTGTGTGTGTGTGTGTGTGTGTGTGTGTGTGTGTGTGTGTGTGGCTTTTGGTAAATGTGGGTATGTGTGTCTACAATAGTGCATCCAGGTCCAGTTCTGGCAGTGGTTCCTTCCAGTAAGAGAAACTGCTGTACTCAGGACAGTCCAAAGCAGAGGAGGTGCTTCCCTCGACAGAGAGCACGGGGAAGAAATGTTCCACCAACCCACTGAGGTGGCTGTACCTGCAAACACACACACACACACACGACTGAATCACAATTATGTTAATAAACTTGTGTGAACATATGTGAAAGAACATCTGATGATGTCTATCATCTTTATGCAACTGTATTATCTGTATTTATTTTGATGGCACAGGTTGTTTGTAGAAAAATCAGCAGTCCCAGTAAAAGGCCCTGATTCTTGCTACTTTTTGATTTCACTAAGAATCACCAAAGTCAGAATTTTTCCAAGCATTAAAAAGGTCGGAAATGTATTTATATCGGTGTTCTTTTGCACACTTACGAGGACTTGTTGCCTTTAGTCTTCTCTTGGATGAGCTCTCCTTTAGGGTTGACAGTAAATAACCTGGTATCAGGAACCCCAACCTGCTTGTAGGCATACGCATCCTGCAGAGCCAATGGCATCAAACCAGTAAGGTTAGACAGACTAGTTTCCATGCCAACTTTGCAGTGTCTATGTACACTAAAAAGAGTCCATCGATCAATCATTAAGCCAGTGTTTACTTTATCCACAGGCAAACCACATCACTCACACTTATGTCTACCTGCTGGAGTAAATTACATTAAAATATTGGTAGGTAGAAACATTTCAAAAACACATGGGTGTGTTCTTTGCTTTAATACAGGCACGTTTTCTTGTGGTTATGTACATCCCCAGTGGCTAAAATCACATCACACAACCTTGGAAATAGACTGCAGCAGCATAAAAAGACCCAGTCTGCAGCATTGCTTACGTTAGTCCTGTTGCCGAAGGCAGCGTAGAAGGGCCGTCTCTGTGGGTTGAACAGGTCCCTGATGTCACTGAGACAGGCGATTTTAAAGACCTCCGGCTTCTTCTCAATAACTTCTCTGCACAGGTCAGGACACACAGTTCATTGTCAAAATGGGTATCTGTTGTGTTTGTCTCCTTGCTTACATTCCTATATTTCACACAGTGCAGTAGCTACTAGTATTACTGTTAATTGGATACCTCTTTCTCTACATTACATTGATTTTCAAACTTGAACAATTGCTCACACATACACACACAGATATATCCTACATTTTGTTAATTCGATTAATCAACGCAGTGTTATAGTAGGACAATGTCTGTGAAGTTGTTGAGTGGTAGTATTTGTAACCTGTGTAGTGCTGAAAAGAGGCTGCTGGGAGCCAACAGTACGGGGCCTTTAGGTAGGACAGTGCCTTTATCATTGACCCACTGAAGGTAGTCCTTAGTGATGGCAGCCATACCTATGGCCCGCGCTGAACAATACAGGAACTTGTAACCATTTCTGTAAGGAAAGGAGCAACCATATTAACATTTTAGTTCATATAAAAAAAGAAAAGAAAAATGTGGAGTTTTCCACTTCTGAAAAGCATTAAGGATCCTGAATACTGTCATCAGTACTTTCAACAACACATCCTGTTACTCCAGATGTGTGTATTAAAAGATTAGCACTTCCAACAGAATTCAATCTTTTTTCAATTACCTTAACAGCTGAATTCTGTTTTAAAAGCACAACATGAGACGTGAAAATAGGGACGAACATCTGGCAATGCAGATTAGATAGTCAACGGAAACTTGAATGACATAAGAATGACATTCTTTTTACTGTTTGCTTGTTACAGTGTGAGTTATGTGTCTGAAAGTTCATTGAAAGAAACTAGTAAAAAGGAAAAACACTTGAAAAAAGAAACTGTTAAGAGAATGATGTTTTTTTGCTCTTTGATAGCTGATAATATTCTAAAAAGTAATTTCACATACTGGTGTATTTTGTGGTAGAGTTTGGCAATGCCTTTGTGTGTCCAGTCTTTTCCAAACTGAGGTAGAATATGACCCAGAGCATCAGACCTGCAGGAGACAGACAGTAAAGACCTCTTATAATACTGTGAGTTCACACGATGTTCTATGGTGTATCTTTCACAGTAATCAGGAACTATGTTTTAACAGTTTCTCTATAAACCATTGTGCAAGGAAACGCAGTTGTTTTTACTTAGTGATGGTGCCGTCTATGTCTGAAATGATGACGCGGTCGCTCCAGTTCCACAAGTAGATAGCGGCCTCACAGCGACAGGTGCCTTGGTATTGTGTGGTCACACTGAACACCACCTTGTTGGCTCCTTCACGCAGGTTTAAGCGCTCCTGGTTATGAGGAAGGTGAGAGTTAGCTGAAGTCACCAAAACCACAAGGAAACATCCGCTACATACGTTAGAGAGCAGAGTAAAATCTTTTATGTGGGTGTTGAAAGTTTATGTGTGTGTGGCTCTTACAATCTGTTCAGAGGTCAGGCGTAGTGATTTGCGGTAGATCTGGTTGATGCACTGCGTGGTGTTAAGGGTTTCTGTTGATAGGCTTGGAGCAATGGTGGCTTTTCGGCCAAGGCCCGCTACCTCATCGCTGTCGATGTCATCCAATGTGGCTCTGGAGAAACAACGCACCGCCAATTACCACTTATTGTTTGAATAATGCTCCTCTGTCCCACTGTATGTATTTATTGCTGATGAGCAAATACAACGATTTAGTGATTTATGCATAAAAATAAGAAAACTTTCCACTTGGTGATCCGTAACAATTATATCTAACATATGTTAAGCTTTAATTTTGGCAAATGCTGACATTGTCAAGATTACTAAAAATGTACTGTATGGACAAAGGTTTGGCTCACTCTGGTGGCGCAAAGGTAAACTACACGATGAGATTTGAAGTGATACACAAAAATATGTCTTTAAAAAAAAAAAACATAATAATAATTCCCAGCCAATTTATCAGGTCTTGTGTCACGGTAATCTAAAGATTCAAAAATACAAGTCTAACAGTTGTGGACCAGCAAGACTAAATTCAAAAGGAAACAGCAAATACAGTTTTTAGATCATTTCTTTTTGAGGTGACTTACTGTACTGTGGAAGAAACACCAGCCAGTGGCTCCTCTTGCTCATCTTTTGAGTTCTTTTGCTGAAAAACAAGAGTCACAGGATCAGGTACATTCCAATCTACAACAATGTCAAGTGGCATTGATGCCTTTACTAACAGACAGTGACAAATTGCTTCCAACATAACCCTTCCATCGCTTCAGCTTCTACCACCCACAATCCTCTTTTGTCTTACGTGGACAGAGCATAAAAAAACAACCCAAATAAGGCCACAGCCATAAAACCCTGTTAAAAACAATGCATTAAATATTGCATGTAATCATTGCAATTCTAGACATTTTATTTTCTTGCTGGCACACCATCACAACTCAGTGAATTACCGTTAGGAATTCTTAAGAATGTACCTGGTTACTGTCCATGTCTCTTCTCCTCCAGGAGAACCACCAGCGTCCAGACTTTTTTGGCATCTTGTCTTTCACCAGCCGCTCTACTGTACTCTATATGACAAACACACAAAGAAGACAATGGTTATATTTATCCTGTCATCATATTCACTAGCGAACTAAGATCTTATCTGTCTAATGCTAAACTCAATGATCAGCTTGATGAATGTTTGACACTGGACATTAAGGAAGCCTAATTAATTAACACTACTGAGGTCTAATAGGGAAACAATAAAATACCTTGGGTAGATTTTTTTGGAAAGTTGTCATTGACAAGACCATTGGAGCAGCCACTGCCCAGTTATAATAGCTGTGAAAGATGAAAGCCAGATGATTAAAATCATCATCATCATACCTCATGAATCTCATCATCCTCTTAAATAATTATATAAACAGTAAACTAACAAAAGCTTTGTGATATGAACTGTATAGGTAAATCAGTGAATATCTAATTCCAGGTCTTACTTGGAGTTGATGCAGATCACAAGGCTTGGATCCTCAATTATTCCTGGATTGTTGGCAAAATCCTGGTATGTCACAATGTGCTCCATAAACTTTTCTGGATTAACAGCAAAAACAACATTACAACTGAGAACCTGCCCATTCCTTCATGTACTCTTACATCCTGCATACAGAACAGCGGCACAGATTCATTCTCATGTACCTTTAGTGATTTGGCTGGTGTCGCCCTCTTGTCCGCAGAGGGACATGCTGACATCCATGTTGTAGGAGGTAGAATCTGACAGGTACTCTGTACCACTGTCCATCGCCCCGCTGCCCACTGACTGAGGCGACTGGCTCCCTGAGCAGGAACCCTGCTCCGCCCCTTGCTGAGACGCTCCATCTGTCTCACTGCAGGGACAACAGACACTCAATTCTTCCCCAATAGAGACACTTTTTAGATAGCACAGCATGATTACTATTATTGGGTTATGGAGTTTTTTGAGACGGTGGAAATTTCAATAAATTTGTGTCTGTGTTTAAAACATATACACAGATTTTTGTTTGTAATTTTGTGATGAAAGTTGAAAATTTCATATACAATTAAACATGAACCACTCATACTGTATTTAGTGAAGAATGTCAATTATGTGTCTTTTTACCTCTTGGGGAAGTACAGTGCAGCCACCTCAGGGTCCAATGTAGTCAGATCATCCAAGTAAATACCTGTTGGTCCTAGATGTTGATTTCGTTTACCTGCAACAAAATGACATGAACTCAACTGGTGAACAATTACTTTAATGCAAAGTCTAAAATGAGACACAAAAAAATTGAATAAATGAGAGAGCTCAGAAAAACACTTCACCTTTCTTCTTGTCCTGTTGCTCCACTTTAGAGGATGCCTCAGAAGAGTTTGCTAATCCCTCTGCAGCAGTCCAGCTGCTCCCAGCATCTGTCCATTCAGCTTTTGGTGCAGCTTTGTTGTTCAGTGAGCCTCCTGCTGACCCTTCAGCCCCTCCTGGTCCTCCCTCCTCCTCCCCTCCCTTAGCACAAGGATCTATCCCACTGTCCCCCTCACTGACAGAGGCACTACTGGTGGAACCCTGTTCACTTTGCTCCAGTAAGGCACCCGGCTGTTGTGGACTAGATAACTCCGTACTACTTGGACTTGTTGCTGTGACTGCACAGTCTTCGCTCTCTTTGATGAGTTGTTTTTGTGCGTTGTTCGGTTTGGTCACACTGACTGTGCTATTATGGCTGCCGGGGATAATTATGTCAGTCACAGTGCAAATATTTTTAACACTGGTTGCGCTTTCTTTGCTACCAAGAGATTCTGTGCCATTAATTAGTTTAGCTGAATAAGAAGATGGATCTCTGGTCTCCTCTTCCCCTAATGTGGATTCAAGTGCCTGTGTCGAGTCCACGTTACTCTTGGACAGGTCATTGGGGGTGGAATGGGCAATGTGAGAGTCTTGCTCCTTGGATAAAGGGGGGGTTTGCATAGTGTGGCTACCTAGGTCTAGGGAGCGAGTCCTGGGTTGTGGCCTAACCACTGTTACACTGCCCACTCTGCCACAGCTGATCACAGGCTCGTAGCTCATGTCAAAGGAGTCCTGTCTCTCAATGGTGCGGAAATGAGAACTGTCAGAAGGGGAGATGCGCTGCAAGTCCACTGGCATCCTCTCCGATTGACAAAGCTGGGAGGGGAAGGGCAGAGAGAGCAATTTGAGACAGTGTGTCAGCATGATAGTCTCAAATTTACAGCATTACAACAGCACGGGCAGGCAGTAAAAGCACATTTACATCTGTGTGTGTCTGTGTGTCTGTGTGTGAGTGTTTGACGAACCATGGGAAAACCTCCCCAGTTCCACTGCATCTGAGGCCCAGAGGACTCTTGGGTTTTAACCAGAAGCTCAGAGTCGCTCTTAGGAGAGGACGGCCGGCTGAGGAACACACTGCTTGGACAAATAAAGATAAAGAGAGAGATACAGAGATATAATGTGAGGACAGGAGCCACTGAATAAATCAGTATGACGTTATCTTTGTCAGCTGACACTGACTCAGTTAGGCTGCTCAATACAAAGAAATAAATAAATCAATTCATTTATCTTAAAGATTAAACTTCCTCACCTTTCTGAGGGTGACTGCTCTCCATCCGAGTGTGGATGAGTGTCTCTGGTCTGTGTGGCCCCCAGTTCCTCATTTGGCTCCTCAGACATCGAGTAGTACACTGATTTACTTTAACACACACACGAAGATAGTTTTAACTACTTGTTGAAGAAACATTAAACCACAAGACTCCCTGTACAAAGGTTGCTGGTATTGGCGACACCACTGAGTATAAACATCAGTTTGAAGCTCTATGCAGTTTCTGCTGCTCTCTGCTCACTGTTTTATTCTGACAGCAGCTTTGCTACACACATAATTTAATAGTGATGAAAACGCTGAAAAATATTACGCCAAATTTACAAAAAGGTACCAAAATCAGCAATAATAAAACCTATTTCAGGTGTGCTGCTTTAAATGCATGCTATGGGCATTTGTGAAATCAGTCCAGGTTGGCAATAGATAAAACGACAATGTAGCAGAATAATATGTTCACTAATTACTGCTGTGAATTACAAGCATAAGTCCTTAACAAACAAGGAGTGACAACCACTGCAGAAAGAATGGACGGATGATGTTTTGGTGTTAACAGGTGATTTTGGCCTGAATGCATCAGTCGTAGTTGACAGTGACAGTAGATGTCTGGAACATATTAGATATGATTTACCATTTAGCTGAAGCAAGTTGGAGTCTTTGAATATGTGGACAACTCAAGGCCCCTAAAAGCAGGCTAATCAGATATCTCACTAACCATCTTCTTACAGGGTGTAATTAAATAAATGAATGAACTATGTCCCAAAAAGCCAAGAGCGTCTTTCACCTAAAAAAACAACACACACTATTTTATCCGTTTTAATCACTGACCTGACTTGCAATGGTGTGCTAGGCTGCTCTTTATCAGGACTCTCCTGCCCCGCCGGATCAATTTCTCTTTCCCACTCCTTCTCTCTTTCTCTCTCATCTGATGAAGAGCTGGCCTCTTCTCTCAGGTGAGTATCAGAACGGATCCGTTTGCGACGGCGTTTCTTCCTGCGGATGCCTGACCCAGAGATGAAGGATCCCTCAGTGGTCTCCTCGATCTCCTCAGGGAGCTCAAGAGGAATTGGGGAGGTGCACAGATGGGCTGGGACCTGAGACTAAAAGGGATTAAAAGAGTAGAGTAAGAGTAAGATAGCAGACCAAACTGTTGCAATGTTACCAAAGAATTGAGAAAAAGGGACAATATGATGAGCTTAAAAAGGTCCAGTGTGTAACATCTACATCCAACACACTGGATGTTTAAAGCAATGGTCATCAAATCTTAGTCATCTTACCTCCATGTTTTCATTTTCCTCCACAAAAAAAGCTTCTCCATTGTCACCCAGCTTCATGTGCAGGTCAACTGATTCTCCATTTATCTCAATGTCCACCTAAAATCACAGTGAAGCATGCATGTGTCTAAGAATGACCAAAAGCTGAGAGAGAAAAACGTAGTAGAATTGCAGTTAAAAGAATTAAATGAGACAAAAAAAATCACTGACGATTTTCTCCTTGGAGCGTAGTACACCCAGCTTTCCGAACCGGATGTGAAAGGGGGAACATTGGAACGATCCATCAGGCTGACGCACAACAATGACATCGATCCCTCCAGTAAGAGTGGCGGGGTTAAGGCCACGGTACAGCTCCTTCACCGTCACAAACACCGTCTCCGCCAACTGGCCCACAATATTCATTGTCTGGGACTGGAAACAAAAACAAAAAAAAACAAGAAGTGAGAACGGTGAGGCCAAGTGGAATGACACAGGGACAAAAAGTGTCTGCATTCAGTGTTTTCTGTTGTCTGTGGTTTGATCCTTCATCCTTTTTTCTCTGTGTCAGCAGCAATCAATAGCAATTTCAACTATTTAGAGTAAATATAAAAGCTGCAATTATATAATTAGAATTCCTCATATCAATGTCATCCACTGAAACAAACTAAAAAGCACATAACATTCAAGATTTTAAAGCGTGTTCAGCGTGTGCTATATTTTTCTGTTAAAATGCTTAATGAAGCACATTTGTGCGTCAGCACACAGAGCTCCTGCGTTATATAACCCACTATAATGCTAACCAAAGAAAAGAATCACATATCACAAGAGGCGAAATAACATAAACCTTTCCACTAAGATTAGAAGGGTGCTCCTTGATCATGAGTCATGACTAATGGGCTAAAGGTCAACAGTTGGGAGGGAAGAAGTGATCTATTAAATACATGTATCTAGAGGTATGTCACTTTAAGCCAACAACGAGACCAAAGAGAACACAAATTCTAGCAAATTTTCAAAATTTAGCTTAATATAAGTTAGACTGAAAAAAGGGTAAATGTAATCATTCCCATTATGTATCCTTTTCTCCTCAGCAGACCAGAATATGTCTAATGAGTAGCTTTAGTAAGTCAAAAAGTCAAACTTCACCAAAGGCTACTGAGAACATCACACTTGGCCTAGTTTGAACCTGCATCAACATTACAGGACTTTCAAAGTAGCGTCTGTGTGGTTAAGAAACAAACGTTACCTCAGCTGGGCTTACAAGCCACTGTCATCATATCTAGCCAGTGCTTCTTAAAGGAAATACTATTGTTGCCTATTATAACCTTGTAATACCATTTTAAATTTCTATTTAAATTAACCTTAAGTGTATATTTTCATTCTGCAACGTACTGAAGCCACAAACTAGAGACACATCATGCTAGAGAAATCAATACCATAGCTCGACAATAAATTCTATCTTTGTGTAGCTTGTGTTTTGTTTTTGTTGATAGCAACCAAATTGATCTCAAGAGACGAGATGTGTCAGGATGTCAGACTCAACTGCGCTTCAGAACTTCCAACATGGCCTTAACAACCCAATTTAGATAATGAGTATGATTATCATAATCCACTTTTATATTCCTGAGGGAAGACCCCAGAAAACTGTCTGGATAAACTTGATAAAGACTTAACACACACCAACACAATAATTCAAACCTACTGTATCTATAGAATCACCTGTCCAAAGTCTGCATTACCAGTATCAGGTCTTACCCACATCGAAGGATGCAGATGTCCCCTCCCAGCCAGGCTGCGTTCCCTTGACCTCCCTTCTGCCATACGACACTACAAAGGCTTTTCCCACCACAGGAACTCAGGGACACTCTCAAGAAACTTTACCTCCATTTCCACCAGAGGAACTTCATTTCCACAGGATGCTCACTGCCTCTCAAGGTTAGGGCCACTTAAACCCACCCTCCATATCGGTCTCTAGACATAAGGCTACATTTTGTTAGCTTTGAGACGTAGCCAGTAATGTTCGTACAGTCGATTGTAACTGCTAGGTTAAATTAGGACTTTCCAGTGGATCAATGGTCATCGGAGATGACAGCGCTCTGGTCCTCTCTGGTCTGAGCTAGGACGCAAAATATAGCAATCTATGAGAGAGTCCCAGTATATTCAGTCACACGCCGATGCTTCCTCTATCTCACGCAATTTCACAAGCACACACACACACACCCTCCTGTCACACCGAATTCATACTTCCTGACTTGCACTGCACATGACAGCCAGACCAGCAGTTTCTGAAAGGCTAGGACAGGCTATTCAAACACGCTTGGCATGAAAACGCACACACACAAACTGAGCGGCCACACAGTTTCTGGGCTTGACCACAGCTCTCTGGGCCATCAAAGATGAGAGGACGCTCCAGCAGTCATGCCCGACCAACATTGGGATAGCCTACCCGACTTGGAGGAACTCAAGCAAATAACTTGCAAATTCTGATGGATATCCCTGCCTGTGCTGCCTAGAGGACACGACAGAAAGGTAGGCCTAAGTTAGCAAACAATGTCTAACAAAAAGAGAAGTCATTAAAGTTGATGTAGATAATCACCCAAAGACCAATCAATCAAAAAGAAAGAAAAAAGAGCCAACTCTATTCTATCAAGTGACTCATCCAACACCGCAAATGTAAAATATAAGTGTGTAGCTCATGGCCTCCTGGTTGGAAATAACTTTTTCTGTGCCCATTCAGGCTTCAACATATGTTGATTTAGAGTGATACTTGACTGAAGCTGCCAGGTCAGCTGTATTTAAACAGCAGGAAGAACAAAAGCCCACAGTAGACAATGGTAGTGAGAGACGACTAAATGTAGGGCAGTAGAAGAGATGACAGAATGGACCCATGAGGGGGTTAATGATGTACAAGGATCAAATGTTTTCATCTATAGCAGGATGCTGTTTCTAATCTATTAAATGCATTCCTCGATGTATCCCTCATAAATTGGCATAATCCCAAGCTTCACTGCCTTCAAGTTCATTTCTCCTCATTAAGGAGTTCAAACTGATGACGTTGACACTAGCACTGAAACTAACCCCTGTTTCATTGTATGTTAATCTGCACTTTAGTTTTTTTTATTGCTTGATCCCACTGTTGTGTCTAAGAAAAATGGCTGCTGATTAACTACCTGACACACTGGATTCAGTCAGTCATTCACACACTGAGTCCAATGTGCCCAATGTGCCTGTTGTACACCAGTTTCCCAATGTGTAGGGACAGCCAGGTCTGTGGAGAGGGTGGTACTGACCATTGCCTCACAGGAGACACAGACAGACAGGGGTTACCTCACTCTCATTCAATGACATTCAGCATATCTGTCACCGTCTCTTGACCACTGTTGCACAAAAACCTCTAAAAATGTCTCTTACATAAGGCTTTATGATTGCACAATATCACATATCACCATCACTGACTCAGACAGCATCTTACTGAGAAAGTCAGCCCCTCAGGGTGCAGGAGGTTTAGGTGCAGGTCTTGTTCTTGTAAAGAGCTTAACTTTCATTGAGCAGCAAGTTTCCTGCCGGATTTTATTTTTAAGAAACAGATTTAAAGACATTTTCGATCAGTTAAGTCACTCGTGTGTTGTCGTATGTCTACTTCATGTATCTATTGATAAACCACCACGCATCCAAACAACTTCCGCAACGGTTGTGCGTACAGTGTCACAGTATGGCGCAATCCAGTGTTAGCCACTGAAACTCTCCACACTTAAAGCCCCACCAAAGAAACACGTCTGCTCCAATGTTAGTGCCAATTCAAACACTTTAAAGCCAGACACACGTCTTATATAAGAGAAAGCTATAGCTACAAATTCACCGTTCAGAACTTCATTAAGATTTCTGCTTTGTTTGACAGCGAATTCAAACATTTTCCCGACCTGTCCTTAAAAACAACGACGTGTAAGTGACAGCAAGTAAACAATAATCTTACACATTGATAAAACTCTACCCTCTCTGACTAGCTAACATCCTCCACGACCGCTAAACATGTTACAGACAGTTCATTGTGTCTGCGTTGATGCTGAGAGTGGAGACAGCAGCTTACCTTTCGGATGGCTTTGAGAAAACAACTGACAACCTAGATGCTTCCTAGTATGCTGCGCCTGCGCACAACGCACGTCAATCACACCAGCAGCCAATGAGAACACTGGAAAAGACAACATGACCCGCCTCCAGCGTTATTTTGTAAACAAAGTGTTAAATTATGCATAAATTCCTTTTTTTTTTTTTTGTTGATTATTTAAATGTGTCATTGTAATGTAAGGTGAGGAAGAAACAAGTTGATTGATTTTGATAATCGATTGGCTCTATCTCTGTGAACAGTGCCTCTTAGTTAAGCTAAAACGAATCAGTTGCAAAACACTGGAAACTGAAGTGTAAAGTTTAACTCCAAGTCTCCTATACAAACAAGAAACCGCATGACACAAATCTGGTCACTTACAAGCCTTAAAAGTTACCCACTAATACACCTCTCTCAAATTCTACTTTTCATCAAATCCAGTGAATCCATAGGATTGTTGCAGAAACACATACATGAGTAACGTTATATATTTACTCTTACTTTAACCTTCATAAAGTACATGTTACATTCTAGAGGACAGTTATTGTCGTTATTATTATGAACTCTATTGTGTTTTTCCACTTTTTACTCTGTACTTTCTTAATGCTTTGGTAATATCGTTTTTGGTACACTCATACCAATAAAGCAAAATTAATTGAATTGAATAATCGTAGATTATGAGCTTCCAGCAGTCTGGCACATCTTGAACAGCTCCATCAAACAGACAGTGCTAGATTAAAGCTTGTCTATCCAGTGAGTGCCAAAGGCGTCTCTAACCTGAGGGGAACAAATAATAATGTTTGTATATCTATATTTATTGCACATGTATTTGTAATAATGTTTAATTATTATTATGCTTGATGTATCATATGATCTGAATCTTGTATCATGTGACCTTTACCTGAGTGAACTTTAGCCTGATTGTTCCCAAGTATCATGAATATAACAGAAGTGTTCATGGAGTGTATGTGGCTAAAAGTCTGTTAAAGCTTCATCACTGCAGGGAAATATCACATTTTTGTCATGCAGCAACACTAAACAATGGTGCCTCTGAGAGAGAGGTCACTCTTCCTGTGGGAATGTCCACAGAAAAGATGAGTTTGGGCTTGTAGGAAGATTAGAGAAAGTTGCTAATTTGACTGCTAACAGTCAGAAAGGTCAGGAGAGATAATGACACAGGGAGACAGCCCTTGCTAGAAAAAAGTATCAACAGGACAGAAAGACAAGATAGGGCCCTTAAAGGTATCTCTAAGTGTGCACATTATGGACTAACCTTTGTTTTGTGTCTGAGCATTAAAGGTGAGACAATACTGTAAGATATTTTAATTTCATTCCTCCATGTCAGAGGGGAATTGCAGAACTTCAGCCAGTGTGAGAGACTGGGAGTGTGTACAGGAGCTCCCGAGGCAATAGTGAGGAAAGTAGACACATGCAGACACAACATGGGTCAACAGAAAATGCAGGGTGTAAAGCTGTGTATATAAATATCTGTCACATGAAGAGGGTTCATAACACTGCAGCTGCACTGAAGTGCATTTACCCCTTCACTGGAGGACTTGTTGTAACAAGAGTTTAATCCTGGATGTTTATGGGGATGAAAATATGAACTAGGAGTCTGTGGTAAAAGTCGTTCTCATAAAATCACACCACTGAAAAATACATATTATACAATGTGATTGACATTTTGTATTTTGATTTCTGTTGTATGTATTTTAACAAAACTACTTCCAGTAATTTGTTAAACAATAAATGTACAAATAAATGTGGCCTATTTTGACACTTCTACATTTTTACATTAAAAAGAAGATCTTACCTATGTTGTTTAGTTGTTTATGTTCTTGTTTAGTTGCAAAATATCCACAGCATTACTGAAGCTTTCTGCATTACTAAACTCTGTGAGCAACTTACAGAATAAAATACAGAGCAATAACTATGGCCATTCTATTTTTAGATTTCTGAGACACTAGCAGCTGTGAGAAATTATCTGTATGAGCATATGATGAACAACAGTTGGACTGAACATTTTCACAACCCTCCCACATTACTTTTGTGCTCATCATCACTTACTGAGGAGTTTTTAGTATTTCAGAAAGGATAACAAGTGTGGCCCAGCAGAGGGCATCACTGTACCTGCACAGAGCCCTGTTAAACAGGGACGCCTCCTTTCCTTTCCGGAACTCTTCCATTTATGCTCTCTATGTATTTTTTCCTTTAATTTAATATAAAACAATATTCTGTCACTACTACTGAAGGTTTTACAAAAATGTGGATATAGTGCATTTCCTAATCAAATGAAAACAGATATTGTTTTAATGGTAAAATTAAATGTTCCCAGAAAACACACTCAATATGTAGAATACAAGATAAAAGACACAAGCATGGACATATGTAGTAAATTTTCTGTGAATCAGATGTTCAGTAGACTGAAGGATGGGGCTTGTACCAAAGAACTTCATTATCATTACCGCAACAGTGAAAAGACTAAATGGTACAATTAAATTAAGACACACTGACATATTTGATGTATTATAATCACAAAGTATAAAATGGGGTATGGGGTTGCTAAAAAAAATACTTTCAATTGAATAGCTTATATCCAACCAAAAACCTAATACAGCATACATTATGTACTGCCCAATTACGGAGATGGAGATGTTACACATTCATTCATTTAGCCAGGACAGTAGGTATTAATACCATAGCATTGTCATGACAGGAAAAACAGGCAAATTATTTCTGACAACACTTAAAGTGAAAAACAGCTTTGTCAGAGTAAAACAGCTGCCAAACAAACATCATAGCCCTTTTAGTCACACTGAATAATGTTGCTTCTTTAATGAAAGATAATGAGAAAAAGAGTGAGCAACCACAAAACAGATGTTACCCCCATGACATAATTCAAGGTGTTCCTTGCACGTTCAAGGCCAGCCTAACTGCCTATTTAAGGAAACCCATAGTCTTACAACAGAAACACTGGCTTTCAAAACAGCTCTGCATCTGCTCACAACTCTCTCCCCCATGTCTCCACACTCCACCACACAGAGCCTCCTCTAAATGTTTAGGCTCTTTTCTCTAAATAAGGCAGCCTTATCGTAGTTCCTGTCATTTCTGCCTTTTCCCCAAACATCCCGAGCAGCGTCTGTGGCAGTAGCAAGGGCTGCAGCCCGTGCATTCTTTTGCCTTGTATGGAGAAATTGTCTGGCCTGAGATGTCTTTGTATGGGACAGGGCGGCCTTTCCATTGGCCAGGGCTAAAAGGGGAGGGAACCACCGGGAGTCTGATTCTTTAAACAAACTTTCCTGTAGGACTGCCTGCTTCCCTTTCTCACTGCTGTGTCGGACCAAAAGGAGCCTGAAGGACTTCCAAATATTTCTACCTGAAGCCAAGGTGAGAAAGAAAGCTGTTTTTACCACTGGATTACATGAAGAGTATACATAGTTTAAAAAAAAAAGTGTTTTAAAAAGACTGCAAGTGTAAATTCTCTCTTTCAGAGTTCAGTGGTACAATGCCCAACTGTCAGTGCTGAGAGTGTGGATAGAGTTACAGAGAGCCTCTGAAGTGGATCTTTGATTAAAGTTACCAGATCAGCTACAATAGAGCTTTTTCATCTGTTGATCAAGGTGAAGATAGACCTGTAGAGGATGCTCAGTTGAGACCTGTGTACGTGTTTGTGTGTGCAGTATAAATGCACTGTATGCGTGTGTGTGTTTACTTCCATCTCATCACTATGGCGCATTAGACAGAGGAATTTCTGAACGCAGCTGACCCATTTAGATCTCTCACACTCTCACACTCTTAAACATGCAGACATACATACCTCTGATGCCTTTTTATAGGCGGCGAGAGCATAACTTCCACTTTGCTCTCTGTTTGTTTTTGGAATTCCTGACCATTACTCTTCGCTTGAATAGTGAGGAGTAACCTACATGGCCCAGAGTAAGGACGAGGGGATGACAGCCTGACTGTTTGGTGATAGCAAAGTGTGTGTGTGTGTGTGTGTGTGTGTGTGTGTGTGTGTGTGTGTGTGTGTGTGTGTGTGTGTGTGTGTGTGTGTTCTTTGCTGGACGAAGGAACAGAGGAGCTTTGTCATCCCAGTGGATAAAAGGGTCCACAGAGGAGCTGTGGTGGACAGAGAACAAACACAATTAGTCAGTACAAGCCATTTTGAGGCACGTCACACGAATGCTTACGTTGCTGAAGTCAGAAATAGTTGTCCTTTGCCTCTTTGTGAATCATTGTTGATTCACTCTCTGCAGAATGCAGAAGAATTGTAGATGTTGCAACAGCACCAGGCTCATCCGGATAGGATATCAAGATTTATTTTCTTGTTCACTGAAAATGTAAGTTGTCAAATAATCACATTAGTGAAAGAATCTATTTTATTGATTGCCTGAAACAGATATAGTTAAACGCCAATCAGCCTCTCTCCCAGGAGACAGTACCCTACTGTATCACTGGAGCCAAACAAGAATGCACAATAGAGATAACTAAATTCAAAGGCCTAAAGCTGGACTGTTTACATTGGAGCCACTTCCTACAGTCATACAAATTGTAGTGTAAATTTCTGCAAGCGCATGCTGTGAAAGGACTAGGTGGGAGAGAGAGAGAGAGAGAGAGAGAGAGAGAGAGAGAGAGAGAGAGAGAGAGAGAGAGAGAGAGAGAGAGAGAAGCCCTAATCAGATTGAGGAATTCCTCTGTTCTTAAAACCTCAAATTGGAGCTAGACGCCGTTTTGTTTCCAGTTTCCTCTGTGACTGTGAGATGGAGAATGGAAGGGCATTGGGCCAGCAACACACACCTTCCAGATTTCTTTCATTTTTCTGGCACATGTGGGGACAGAAGCAGCCAAACAGTAGTCAAATGAAAGGAAAGACTGGTCCAACATGTGTCTGCAGTAAAAGAAAGGAAGGAGTGAAACCACCGCTGACAAAAACAGTGTGTGTGTGTGTGCGCATTGGTATTGAGAGTTAACACTCTTCCTTTGGCACTCAAGTAAATTAATTCCTTTCCTGTAACCTTTACACTGAGAACCAAAACATACAGATCCATTTTTGGATGTAATGTCTTCATGTAAGTGCTACAGTGAACAATGAGGTTATTCTGGACCTATCAAACTAATTTGCATTGACTATAAAAATTATAATTCTGCCCCAGTTATACGGTAGCGTTCATTTGTATAGAGATCAGCAGAAGAATAAACTTCTATATACCCAACATAAAAAGAGATAGGTAAAACTGCTCAGCCGTGCCTGCACTAGCTCTTCTGTGAGGCCTTAGAGAGTTAGACAGGCAACAGAGACACACAACTCCAGCACATTAGACATGATGACAGACAGTGTCACACAGACCCTTAGAGACAGCAAAGAGCAATTTATATGTGTTGGAGTACACCTCTGTGTAGCCATTGCTGTAATGTGCTATAATATATATGGATGTAGAAATGTATTTTACTGGCAGAATGCAGAAATGTGTTCACCTTTTGTTAGTAACCAGAAGACTCTATGTGTAGATTTTTCTTCATACAGCATTTTTTGCTGATTATGAGTGAAACAATGTACTTTGAATTTGTGCTAGTTTTTTATTCCAATACAGACACAAGAAGATGGCAATTAATTAATAATTAATTAGTAATTAGGAATTTAGATTTCAAATGTAAGGTCTTCACATTTACCTAATGCAGCTCTGCCTGATGAGAATATACATGTAGAGCACCACATCTTGAATGCCACCCAAGGCCACTGATGATCAAAACTCTTCTTAATTTATAAAAAATATGTATAGTCTGTTTTTCACTTAACAAAACCTGTGTTTATTTGAGAAAATGTTGTCAACACTCAAAAATATACAAAAACATCTACAATATATTTTCCAAAATATACTTGTTCCTACAGTTGGATGTTTGAGCTTCACTGTCCAGAATGAGTTTGAAAGTGGAAAAGTTGTTAAAAATCTGATTTTAAGGGGCGGACCTACGAGTATGATTTGTGACATCACAAATATTTTGGATGTCAAACCTGGTCTAATTTGCACCTTATACAAATGTGATGTAGAAACTTGAAGCCACCAGTGAACATTACAGTGAAGTAGGAGACATCTTGTGTCCAGCAGGAAAACTTTATATAATAGTTTCATTCATTTATACTATAAATATACACAATGTGCATATTCTGGCTTCTTATTGAGGTGGAGTAGATGCCTTTTGAATTATTTTAATGTGGAAAACACATCAAACATATATATACTATTTGTATAGCTGTCTTATTACATGTCTTTAAATATTCACACTTGAGGGGAAGTTGTCTGGACATGATTATTAACACTATTATGATTAACGTTCACCTGAGTAAATTATCTTATCAGTGACACATACAGTATTCACATCACCAGCGCCTCTCAGGGCATGATGTCATACTTTATATGTGTCATCTGCCACATTCACCTGCTGCTGCCGCCCACTGGGTATAACACAATCACAAAATACACACTTGAAACACCCACACACATGCACATGTACACACACACGCATCCTTGCAGACCAGAACATGAGTGACAGATCTAAATGTGGAAATATCTGAAGTTAGCTGCAGTGTGCACTGTGGAGACATGTCATTTTCACACCCATCACTGTACCCGACATTTAGGGGGAATGTGATTCTCTCTCTAGAGGAAGCGAGAGGAAAAGATTCTCCTGCTTGGGGCAAATGGAGGAAAAAAATATGAAGGCGCTACATGGATGTAGTGCTCTAGTACCGCAATGCAAAATCAAACTCAACACATCTTTACCAATGCATGCTGAAATCAGTATTCAGGTCAAGCTGTGTTACAACATTATTACACTCTAATACATGAGTCATGTCTTTTGAATGTGCACAGGCCCAGATCCAGCCGCCACCATGTCGAGCAAGCGTGCAAAGGGAAAGACCACCAAGAAGCGCCCTCAGAGGGCTACCTCCAATGTCTTCGCCATGTTCGACCAGTCTCAGATCCAGGAGTTCAAAGAGGCGTTCAACATGATCGACCAGAACAGAGACGGTTTTATCGACAAGGAGGATCTGCACGACATGCTGGCCTCTCTGGGTAGACAGGCTTCTTCTCACCACACTTTGCTTTTATGGCTCTAAGTGTAGAGCTTGACACTGCTATTAAAGGGTGATGAAGTTTAGTTTAGTCATCATGAGGAGTACACCTCAGCCTGTGAACAGCTGTATAATATATTCTGTTTGCTCCTGTAGCTCCCAAAGGTCTGAGAGAATCAGATTCAGCTTGGAATAATAAACTCTAACCTTTCACTCCTAGCTTGTAACGAAAGGCTTTGTTACAAGCTAGGAGTGAAATATGTAGCCCTATATCAGGGATGGGGGTCAAAAGAAAGATGCTATAGAACTGCATTATGGGAAATGTGTGTATTCCAGTGTTATTGGAGCTATTAATTAGGATAATTAGAATTTTTCATTTAAAATGTTTTTTTTTATCTGTCTCTCCTAATTTACTTACTTACTAACTTTGTGGAGGTGCAATGGTAAATCACTGGAGTACACCTTTAATTTCCCTTTTACTTGTAAATGAAACTCAAAAAACAACCGAATATATGTGAACATCTGAAAGGTTCCTTCAAAACAGCTGGATTGCAACCTGTGATGTTTAGCACCAGCGTTCTTTTACAGTGTAAAAGCATAAAGAAACAGTTCCTGGTATTGTATATGAGTAGATACATGTAACAGCGTTATTCCTCCTCAGGTAAGAATCCCTCCGATGAATACCTGGAGGGGATGATGGCCGAAGCACCAGGGCCCATAAACTTCACCATGTTCCTCACCATGTTTGGAGAGAGGCTCAACGGAACGGACCCCGAGGACGTCATCCGCAATGCCTTTGCCTGTTTTGATGAGGAGGGATCTGGTGAGTCCGCATAAATAAAACATTCATACTGTATACACAGATCACAGCGCTTACAGTGAGTGTTTTCTCCCTCTTCATGGATGTTCTCTGTCCCTAAGGTGTGATCCACGAGGACCATCTGAGGGAGCTGCTGACCACCATGGGCGATCGCTTCACAGACGAAGAGGTGGATGAGCTGTTCCGTGAGGCGCCCATTGACAAGAAGGGCAACTTCAACTACGCAGAGTTCACCCGCATCCTCAAACACGGCGCCAAAGACAAGGATGACGAGTAGAGGGAAGAACCGACCACCCTGGGCCCCCACGCACATGGCACCACAAATCAATCCCTTGTTCCTATCTTTATGGGCCTTGTAGGTTTGAAAGAAATTGAATGGAAAGAATATATATCAAAGTTTTAAAAAAAGAGCAGACGTGGTCGTTGTCTTACGTTTATTTAGATCTACGCAGGTTTATGTAAAGTAGGAGCTTGGGATTCTTTTGGGATCCACAGAAATATTTTGCAATACATTTCAACTTGTGTCATCATTAAAGATCACCACGATGAGAGGTGTATTTGCATCTCATAGCTACACGTCTAGGGCCTCAGCCACTTTGACTGCGGCCGTTCTGACCTTTTGTAGATCGTGGCAGGGAACCTGGTTGGACTTTTGAGATGCATCAAACACCATATACAGTATGTGTGTGCGTGGGGTTTATTTTTGTTTGGACTGCCACATTCAGTGCTTCATACAGTACCAGCAATGTTTACCTCTTCCTGCCAATTAGCCATTACACCTGCACAAGCACTGCAATGAGTCTCCTTATCTGTAATATTTGTATCCCTCTATGTTGGAAATGGATTTTAAAAAAGTAATTCTGATTGTGTTTATTAAAAGTGATGAGTACTTCCGCTTGATGAAATAGATTTGAGTGCTTTTAGTATAAACCTGTATCAGCTGGTTGGGTATATTCGTTGAAGGATCAGGTATGTCTGTGCCGTTGAAGGAATCCAGGCTTGAAATTGCTCAGGCAAATAAAGTAAGTTTATTCATGCCGTTGAAAGCAAGGACTGAACATGTTGATGTGTTTAAATAGTTGTACCATTTATTTCAAACAAGTGTCTCCTACTAACTTCACATGCTTCAGTTATCATCAGTGTTTTTGGATGTTTTAGCTCTTTGTCCTGCAGTATACTTTACACTAGCACCACTTTCGACACTGTAGTTTGAGTGTCCCAGCCTCAGCTCTGAATGCAGTCACAGCATGAATTCAATAATCTGGGTTTTTTTTTTTTTTTTAAACATTTGCTTTCAATTACAATGTTAACATAACTTAATCTTCACTACTGCTGATGTACTTACGACAAAACTTATCTTACAGACAAAAATTTATCAATTTGAAAAAAAAAAAATTAAATGTTTGAAGGTAATGTGAACTCAATTTGTAGTATACTTGCTTAAACATGCAGTAACATTAGTACAGTCCTTTAAGTCAGTTAAACGTTCTGTGTCGGTGTATATTTGTTATTTTGATATGGTAAATGGCTTTGAAAATATTGTTTTTGCTAAAAAACATTGGAAATTTCTACTCTTATTTTCTATTTTAAGTATACTTTCAGCTTTAAAGCACCTGGAAAAAGTGTTTTAAATCAGAGACATTTGTCATATTAAACATACACAATTAAAAAAACTAAAACGTTTGGAATATCATCTTTATGGAGAGTTCCACAACTCCCATTTGCTTTATCAATACTGTGTGAGTTTGATCCCATTTGACTGACTGAAACAACCTAACTGTCATCAGATTTGGATTCCCCCAATGGATCCTGGAGAAAAGCTTAGACAAAACACACTAGGTCTTTCCTGGTAAAAAATAAAAACTGTACTTTGGAAGATAAGTGTGTTACAGCAGACATTTTCCCTTGGAAAAACACAGGCGTTACTAATAACTGATAACTAGGACCCTATCGTGAGAAGCCAACATTTCTTTTCTGAAAAGGGTTAAAAGGGTTATTGAGAAAATATGTTTTCAAAGCCCTTAGCATCTATTGATGATGCAATTTGGTTATTGTCACAAAAGGACCTCTTTTATAGGCAACAAAAGACGTAAGAAACAGCATTTATGAAAAACTGAACTTTTATTTCTTTGAAATGCTTATACAAAACACACATTTAAAGTTTAAGGCATATATTGCACAAACTATTGAGAAGTTTTTATATAAAAAAGGGACATTATCCCTCAGTCGTAGGTTTAAGGCACAGCAGCCAGTCATACTGCCAACGGTCAGTCATGATTCACAACATGTACTTGAAAAACATTTTTGAATGCATTTGGCTGTAAATAAACTACACAGTATGAGATAAAGTTCATGCCAATACAAACGAACAAAAAGAAAAACATGACCTTGAAAATATTTACATGCATCATCACATTGTCTGATCTGATTGGAGCATTTTGCATCTAAAAATCACATATAAACCTTGCTATAAAAAAAACCAAAAAAAAAACCTGCCTGCCTAATCTTAAACCAGCCATTTCCAGTATCATAACCGATAAGGTGTTGTCAGAGTGGCATGATGTAGTATGAACAATAAAAATATTACATTAATACTTAGTATTCTACATATGACCCAAGCCTGACATGACCTGTGAAAATTGAGGTATAAATGCACATCAGTCTAGAGAGTACCTGTAACAAAAGAATAAAACCCCCAAATCCTCCACTGACACCCACAGATGCAGTGAGGAGGGACAGACGAAACAAAAGAGATATGGAAATACAAGGAGGAGGGTTGGAGTTCCAATATCTGCCATGAATAAGACGTTTATGGGGTATGATGGGTCAGTGCTCAGCAGTACTTTGACCTAATATCCTTCTGTCCCCTCCTTGAATGCAACATGTAACTGTTTGAACAAAGCACAGCTCATTGACACTGACAATATTGAAGATTCTGCTACAGTATCAACCACATAGGAACTTTTCCACATGACACTACTGTTAATGGGTGTCCAGGTGGCATACAGCCTTATATTGTGATTTATGCTAAGACAGTTTCATGGAAACTACAGCTTTATGAATGATTAGAAATTCTACAGAACCCTTCTAAAGAGAGGTGGAAAGCACTAATGAGGAAAAACTTTATTTTTATGCTCTTGTACCCTCCGGGGGAAAAAAACTAAACAAGACCCCCGCCCAGCACTTTGCAGTACGTATGTGCTACATTTGCTTTGCTGAGACACTTGACGCATCAATTAATCTTTCTACAAGTAAGACATTTGGTTTGAAATACAATGACCAAATCCTAAGGCCCCAAATTGACAGGGAAATCTGGATAATTTATATATCCCCTAAATAAGAGGATCCAACATTTGTTTTGCGCCACAAAAGACAAAAAGGTGACATGTCTCACAGCAAGTGTAATGTTTCAGGTCAGGAGCTGTAAGAGCTTGATTGGGTCACCAAGCTGCTCACCTCTCCACTGAAATGGATTTCTGTAACAGACCCAATGTGACCTTCTCCCTACATCCTATATCAACCCCCCCCAACAACAACAATCACTGAAAACTACACAACTGATCAAGGTCGCATAAAGTAACAGACATAACTGCTTCGTTTTCAGCAAAAACGTAGAAAATACAGCTCGTTCTTATAGATGGCAAACAAACGTGTGGGTCAATGAATCCTCTTTGCATAAAGAGACAGGAAGAAAGGGAGATGGGGGGGGGATGGAGACAGACACATCGAAGCGAGTCACTCAGTCAGGCTCACTGCAATACAATCAATTTCCCTTCTGCTCATCTCCAGGGGAAAAAGGGGGGGAATGTAGTGGAGTAAAGAAGAGACTCATTTTAGAAAAAACATCATCTAAATTGCACAACTATAGAAAACTATGACTATTGTTGCTGCTGCAAGTAGAAAATAAACCTCATGTCCTCATTTTTAATCCTGGGAGGGGAATGGATGATAGGCAGCCTAGCCAATGATATCAATGTCTTTTGTACATTCAATAAAGTCCGGTACTGCTACTGAAGAGGCTAATTGCTGGTGTTGATAATTACACTGACTGAAATTTTGTACAATTAAGGGATATTCTCCGCCTCACTCACAACTTGTCATGTGGAAAGATATTTGAAATGTGTTATCAAAGACGTTGTACAATACATTGACTGTGCACTGAGGAATGTTCATTTCGAGAAATGGCATCAAAAGCGTTCTTACCAGTAGGTGCCTCCGCTAAGAACCGCATATTTGAAACAATAAAAAGCTGCTTGAAAACAGCGAGTCTCTGGAACACCTCATGTCCGTTCCTTCACTTTGTCCCAGTTCGCACGTCTCATTTCATTCCCTGTATTCTGCAGGCACAGGATTTAATGACAAAAAGGGGCACTGGTGATGAAGATACATTCTCCTATATACAGTGTTGTCCATCCAAAGAGAATGTTTGGCCCCTCTCCTCCGCAGATATACATATTAAAAAAAACGTGCTTTCCGCTCCTAGTTAACAGTCTCGCTCACTGTGTGCAGGCTGTGCTGCGGGCCCCACACTGTGGTGATGGGGGTCTTTACCACTTGAAGAGAGCTGGGTTGCCTGGTATCAGCGTGGACCATGCTCCAGACGCTGGGCACCACTGCTGAATTCCTATGTGCACTACTACTAATACTGCTACTGCTGGTGCTGCTTGTGGAGGAAGCTGAAGGCTGAAGAGGAGGAGAGACGTGGGAGACCAGGCCCAGAAGAGGTGTACTTGTTGGTGCAGAGGAAGATGTTGGGGGTGATGCTGGGAGAGGAGCTGGAGCTTGGGCAGACGCAAAGACTTGAGTGTGAACAGGGGCAGGAGACGACGCCACGGTTGAAACAGGTGATGGACATGGAACTGTGACCGGGATTATGGGGGATTTGTGGAATGGCAGGTAGAGCGGGACTCCTCTGGGGGGTGTGAAAGAGGTGATGGCTGGAGAAGTAGCAGCTGGAACAAGCGCTACACACTGGGATGACGCCTGGCTTGGAGCAGTGGAACCTGTGGCTGGGAGGAGGACTGATGATGGCACTGGGACTGGCCTTGTAGGTGGCACCGATGCACTCGTAGGACACGTAGCAGGCAGCGGAGCAGGAACTGAGCTTGAGGCTGGAGCTGATGATGAAGCTGGGGTGATGGCTGGAGCAGCAGCTGATTTCTGAGAATTTGGCTGTCCTAAAACTGAGGCAGGCGCTGGTACCAATGTTGGCATATGGGCTGCAATGTGCGGAGGCTGGTTTGGGCTGGGAGCTCTGGCAGTGTCCTTTTCCAAGGGACTCCAGATGATTTTATTCATTGGCAGAGGGGGTAGCCTGGGGGCTGAGACCAAGACTGGGGCTGGGGCTGGTACAGAGGCAGCTAATGAAAGAGGCACTGGAGCCTTCACTGAGGTTACACCTGACACTGAAACAGCCATAGCCTTCTCCATCAGACTCTGGACTCTGGAAGGATCCATGACTTGCTGGCTGTCCTCTGGAGGTGGTGTAGGTCCCATGTCACTGCTGTAAGTGCCGCACTGTGCCTCCACTATGTCAGTCTTTACGGCCTCTGTTGGTCTGTTCTGGCTCTCCTGGAGTCTCTTCAGGTTCTCCTGCTCCGCTGCCCTCTGTAGAGCTGCATCAACCAGGAGCCTCAAATCGCTGAAGTCCTGGGTGGGTAACAGCTCGGGTGGGGTCGGTGGAGGCGTGTTGAAGAGGCCACTGTTGGGGCTGGCTGCTATTGTTGTGCTGGTGAGACAAGCCCCCTGCTCCTCTGCTTCCCTCAGCAGACTTTGTGTATCTAGCTTCATCAGCGCCTGGACCGATCCCTCCTTACCAGGGTAGCCTGCTCCTGTCAGAATAGCTGTTGCCGTGTTCCCAAGAAGACTGAGGTCCAGCGTGGGGGCCGAGCGGATGACAGACGGGCGTTGTTGGGATGAGTTGCTTTCCGGAGAGCTGGCTCCGCCTCCATTAGATGAGTGGCCTTCGCTTTTACCGCCAACCTTGCGGGAGATGGTAAATTTGGTGGGATCTTTGCCGTCCTTGCGGAGCAGGTCAGGGAGGAGGCGGCGACGTGCATTGATGAACCAGTTACATATCTGGGAAAAGAGGGGGAATTTCTGGCATAAACAGAACTGATACCAACTGTGGACATGGATGTGAAAAGTTGCTATTTCACATTTTTCAGATTAATTTTTAGCTTCGACACAACACTCAATTAGCCGGATCCATAACTCAAAGTTGGCACTGAAAAGAATCTGCCTTTTAATAACCACCTACACATTTCCCTTCATCTACATCTGTGCATCAGGCCTTACTTACCACCAGTGGTACAGAAAAGACACACGAAAAGAGTGAGACACAGAGATGAGAACCCTCAGACAGCTGGCAATAATGAAGGTCTGCGCTCAAATATGCTGAGCCACAGAGAAGCCAGCCAAAGGCATTCCAGCGAACTGACTACATAACAAGAAACTCTGCTGCCGCCTCATGCTGATCTGTAATGCCTTCTCTAATGCAGCCTGTCTGCGTGCCAGTGTGGAGAGGGGAAGAGGAAATGTCTACTACTGATGCAATGCTGGGAAAGAGTTATTCTCAGCAGTACAGTGTGGTGATACCATCTGATAATTGTTGAGCTTTCACTTCTTCAGTTGGTGAAAAGTTTTGATTAAAATTAGTATCGCTGCTATGTTAACTTAACACCTATCTTGTGCGTAGCATCAGACGTTACAGTGATAAAAGATGACCAACTAGTCTGATGTGCAGGTTATGGACAACTATTTGTGCCACAAGAATAATAAACTGAATTAAGTAAAACGTATGAACCTATATAAAAAGGTCTGGATGTATAATGCATCATAAACAAATGCTAAGACTGTCATGACAAATGAATATTTTGTCAAACTAGATTGCAAATTGAAAACACCCACACCACAGTGCGGGCACAGTTTGTATCACAAGTGTCATTTCCTCTGGTAAGTGCATCTGGAAAAACAAAATAATATATATAAATAAACTCAAAACTGCTCCTCACCTGCAGCACTGAGAGGTTGGTCTGGCCTGACAGACTGAGTTTCTCCTGCTCTGATGGGTAGGCGTTGAAGCGGTGCTCGTACAGCCAGCTCCTCAGAATCTGCACCGCCTCCTTGGGCAGGTTGCCGCGGCGACGGCGCTTCCCAAAGAGCCCTCTTCCTGACAGGTCGAGTGGGGAGCCGTCATCGCTGTCTGACACAGCCGAGGAGTGCTCCTGCTCCGGGCGATGCTCGTCTTCCAGAGCTGAGGGAGGGGAGGAGAGTTGAGGTATAAGTTGATCGTTACTGCTCGAAGAGTGTCATTTACCAAACTCGTTTACACCAAATGCACCACTCTTTTGGTATAAAGAGGCTGTCCTCAGTTCGTCCTTAATATGTGTGAGGAGGCACAAAATTAAACTTTTACGCAGAAAACAAATTCTTAATGGCAATTTTCTAGGTGCCTTGTGAGCAGAGTCGAAATTAGATACTTTTACTTTTAAAAAATCTAAATAAAAAATAAATGTTTTGCACTGATTTAGCTAAACAAGTGAACCCCATCAGTTATTTTTAACCTCCTATTTTCAACCAATTTAAAGTGAGAAAGCTTCAGTGGGCTGCACATGTTTAAACACTGGCTTTGTGGTTTGAACTTTGTTGTGGGGTTTTTTGTCAGTCTATGGTTGGCCACTGGAGGGAATCTCCCCTCAAAATGGAGCATGCCTGATCCCAGGGGTGGGCCACAGAATGCAGTAAATGTCTTTCTCTGGGGCTGGGTGAAACCTGACCCCCGGGGCAGCGCCTGTCTTCACAAAGAAGATTGTGTGCATATCAACATCACAGTAGCTAGTGGCCCAGGAACCTATTGACCATGCAAAGGAGGGCCGTTTTCACCTCATGCCACTTTGGCTCAAGACTGCTGGAGCAGTTGACAAACCTTTTGAATTCTGCATTCCTCAACAATGAGGGAAGTCTTAAACCAAGTTTAAAAAGTGGGTGGGGGGGAACAAAAACATACAAATGCAAATAGTTTAGCACATTTCCCCCAATTTCTGTAGATGAGCTGAGTACCCGAAGACCAGTACAGTATTCACTGTCAATTTGTAGAGGGGCCTTAACATCACATCTGTGTCATTTTGGATACAATTATTTTATCCCAGTTAACGATTCCTTGCAAATAGAGTAAAAATTTAAAAAAATCACTCAGAAGCATCAGTTTTACAAGAGTCTTGTGTGATGTGATGCAACTTTAGGAGCTAGTCCATCACTTTGATTTTTGTATTATACATTTGCCAAAAATATTCCTATTAATATGAATATATTGACTTCAGTCATAACACCAAACTGTCCAAATCTTAAACAATTTCTGGATTAAATTAAGTCTAATTTTGTGAAACTGGGCCCACAAACCCAGTCTCCCATTCATTAGATACACTGACAGACTCAGGCTCTCCTTACTGCTAACAACAAGTGAGGAAAACGATGCTGCCTTCCCTCAAGCAACTGGATCACTGGAGAGACATTTAAAAAGATCCGCTATAAAATATCTACACCCATTCAATGTGGGAGTGATTTAGTTAAAACAGCCCAGACAGATTTTAGACAGATGTTAGCTTAGCACAGTATGTCACACAGCAAGCAGCGGCTACATGCAACATCTCACAGGCAAACTGACCAACTTTTTGTTTACAAAATGTCTCCCACTACCTACGTACAAGTGGGTAAATCTGTGCCCTGCGGGGAGAGGGTTTCTACTAGTTTGTATATACTGTTAAAATAAAAATAAAAAAGGGGGGGGGGGTCCCTCAGGGTAAAGTTTCGAGGCTCGGTGGTGAACTACACTTCACAACACACTCACACCGAGGTAAGAATTTGAATCTGACCGTTAGTAACGCCAGTCCACCTCACATCAAACATCAACTTCTGAGACCCGCAAACGGATAACGTCATACTCAACAAAGGGGGAACTCACACACACACACATTGAAAAACACCGCTCCAATGATACAAAATGTGACATTTAAAAAACATGGAGATAAAAACAGTAGAAAACCGAGGAGCTACTCGGTAAATTAGCCATCTGGAGCGCACAAAGGAGGCAGGCAGCGAAGCACAGCCTCCCGCATGTCACTCCGCCAGATGGACACCATGCCTGCCTCCAGAGATAACTAGCTGGCTAGCTGTCCCTCCAAATTTAAACACAAACACACGCTGCATTTGCTCGCAACAAAAAGCCCGCATACCAGGCAAAACCAACAGCGAAAGACACGGCGGGCTCGCAGACAGTCACTTTGTGTGTTTTAAACGTGTCTGACGGTGATAAAACACGACTCACCTCGTTTGAATGCTTTCATTCTTTGTTGATGGCTCGCTTGGAAACACGCAGCTGTCCAAGTTGCTCGCTGTACAAAGCGTGCCCGGGAGCCAAGCGATGGTTGACACAACGGCACTTTCTTCCAAGAAGCTGAAGGTGTTGCGCTTTTTTTCGCCGACTTAAATACCTCGCTTTAGGGGTTCTGCCGTAGAATAAGGTTTCGCTGGACAGTCCGTTTCCATCGCACTCCTCGCTTTCTGCCAGTATAAATGTTTTCTGTTTTGTGTCGCTTGTTCCTTTTTACCTGCACACAGCAGCGCCAGCTCTTTGCCAATCTTGACAGTCGCAGCTGAAATGATCCCGCCTCATCAACGGCTGTCAGCCAATCAGGAGCCTCCATTCCGCCTCCTGGGCGGTCATTATCCAATCACAGCGCTCCGCTAGACAGCAGACAGGCTCTGTGTCACTGTGACTGACGGGACAGCCAGTTCATTCAAAATATATCGCAGTCATTGAAATAATGTTATTTTCTCGACACGGTAGAAACCACACGGTTACACAGACACATGCAGTGCACATATTGCAACATAGTCGTCTTTTTTTAAACCATTCTGGCCCATTTTAATTCCTGGGTGCGAGAGAGGCAGCTACATAGTGTGGAAGGCTTTACGTAACGCTGAGCAAAATGTTCTTGTTACATAAATCATAAACGTAGAAAGCGTCCACTGGTGACAGCAGGAGCCCTGTTAATAACATAATAAACCAGGTTATCTCGACTCACATTGTCTACAGCCATTTCTGATGTGATATTTAGACATTAATTCCAGTTTGTTTGACTCCGGGTTACTGATGTGTTGGAAGTAAGGCCTACTTTAATAACTCAGGTCAAACGAGCGGGATTTTATTTAACTGTGAGATAGCGCCATGCAGAACTGCTATCTACCCGATGTAACCATTTAAATGTAGACCATAATAAACGTTGTGTGTCCAAATATGTCTTCAACAAATGTGCATGATAGTCTTTGAAAGAAAAATTACACACCGCAAACTGAATCCTCTTATCTTTAAAAAGTCAGCAAACAGCTACAAAACAGTGAAATACAGTCATGAACTTTTTGAGAAAGTATTGTGTGCATTTTATTGAATGTTACGTCTCTCCATTATACATTTGAACAACTTTGAAATAGTATAAATAGATCTACAGCATTGTAAAAGATGAAGATTTTCAGTCTGGTTCTGTTCTTATTTACAGAAGATGACTTTAAGAAGCACAGGGGGGAAAATGCAAGATTATTAGTTTCATCTTAATATCAAAGAACCCTTTAACTCAGTATTGCACATATACTTTAAATGTTGACAAGAATCTAGGTAAATCTCATTTTATGAACAACACACCCACTCACTCACTCACAACTTTGCCTCAAACAATACAACCCTTTTATACTAAACCCCCACAAACCCTGAAATACACACCTATAGAGTATTATACTGAACAGATCCTAGTTTTTAAAATATGTGCTTGCTTCATAAAATATTTGTTCTAGTATTTTTTACAGCCACTTTTTGCTATATCATATCTCTTCTGGTAAGAGCATAGGTTCTGCCCCTCACCCCTTTCCCAGTTTTATGCCTGACTCAGTGGAACAAAGCAGAGATGCTAATGAGCTTTTTGTTTTTGTTTTTTGCAAGCAGGCCTTTGGACTACTGTATGGGAGTGGATTCACTGGTATCTCAGCTGAGGTATACTCTCTTCCTGGGATTAAACTGCTTCTGTTCTCGCCTCTAATAATCTAACCTGTTTTTCCTTCAGTCCTGGAATGCAGAAAAAGTGGCAAATACATGAAACAATCTTAAAAGGGTAGCTAATCTTTATATAACGAGTTAAAATGTCAGATCCATTTTTTAGGGAAAAAGTGAAAAATTGAAAGGTATGTTGGAATCACAGAACATATGGTGCAATTTTGAGAATATTCCCATTGTAAATGATCTCACTTAACATTGAAACTATTGCCTTTTTTGCATTTATAGATGATAACATACTTGACAGACGCCACCATTGTTTACCCTGGTTGAAGGCAGAACATTAAAGGGTGCAGCTGAATACAAGTGTTGATTTCACAAAATAAAGCTTTACCCAAACAGACCACTGCTTAAGCAAATGCTGAAAGCAGTGACAGTTTTGACTTTAAAAGGCCAAATCCATCAAACCTACATGGGGACCATTATCACCTTCAAATCAATGGCTTTACAGCGACAACTACCCCCCCCCCACACACACACACAGTGCAGCCATTTGGATCATGGATCACCCTAGCCAGGAAACAGACCTAGGTGTGTCCCAGTGATATCTGTGTGTATTGGAGAGAAGCCTTGTTTAAATGCATGAGATGAACTCTCTTTTGTTTTTTTCAAGTACGTCACTGACCTCTCTTGGTATTTTACACATCCAAGTTTTAGCGGGCTGGAAAAACGTCGCCTTTCAGTTTGTGATGATACAACAACTTTGCGAGTATTCCTGCCCTCCTTCCCTCAGCGTGTTCAAGATGCCACACTGTGTTTGATGTGCGTTCAAACTACAGTTTTGTGTGAGGAAGGATGACAGCGTTGTTTGGGCCTGAAAATTAGGTAAATGGGGGAAAAAAATAATGGAATGATATGTATTAAACATATTATGGCAGTGGATGCATATGGGAAAGCGATATAAATCTAGTTGTTGCAATATATTGCCTTTCAAGCTGGCCTGTTTACACATACAAGGATTTTACCCATACGACTGAATAATCAATATCCATGACATAAAGATCATCAAAAATGTTTAGTCTGAAATTTGTGGAAAACGTATAAACCTATATTGACACCACATTGCCCGTTTCAGAAAAACAACTTCAGACACATCTTTTTCCTGGCAGTCAGAAATCAAATCAAGCTAACGACTGAGTCACACAAAAGGCCTTCAGGTGCTAACAATGCTATCCACCCCAGTCAAATGGAGGGGGTATTGACAGCAACCAGGGAGCAGGCTATTGACACCTCAGAGCCATTTTCCTTGTTAAGAGTCATCCACAACAGGCAAACAAAGGCCCGCCATCAAGAGAAAGCTATTGCCAAGATAGAGAAAGAATGGTGGTCATCAGGCTTTTCCAATTCAAAGCCCCAGGCTGCATTTTTGGGTCACAGTGGGTGAGAAAGAAGCATTGCAGCAGCCAAAGCAATGGAGTGACGCTGCAATAGTTTAACATAACTAATTAGGGAGGGGAGGTTAGGTTTTGTTTGCTTACCATTTGGAAGAAACCAAATGTGAGTAGAAGACAGGCAAACAACTGCGGTGGATGTCAGGGTTGACTTTATGGTTCTGGAGTGAAATCCTACATGAATAACTCAAAAACCAAGAGGCCTCATTTCAAACCTCTTTGTGTTTTGGGAACTCACTTCAAATGAGACAGGAGTCTGTGAATATGTGTAATCCACACAATGTGTCCCCTTAATGCAAAACAGGGCAGGGCTGACTGTGGTCTTATAGTGTGAATGCCTTTCCATTGTGTGTATACAGTATACTACAGTATCTTAAACTGGAAATTAACCACTGTTGCCCTCTACAGGTCAGAAATTAATCTTTTCAAGACAGGAGTTTCCAGGCTGAGAAAGGGGGATGGGCCATGTCCTGAAAGCTGCAAAACAATCACTCAGTATTGTAGTAGTGATGGGCAGTTCTAGTTAAGCTTCCGGGCATGTGCATATCAAAATGTTAAACCTGTAATACACACGGCGCTGTGGCTCCAGTCCACTCCATCTATTTTTACAGTAAGCACAGTTACTGTTGAGCTCCATGCTGCTGACATTTTAATACATGAGATGAATTTGAAAACAGTGAATTCATCTTTGGCTTATGCAGTCTTCCATGGAAAAAAAAAGCAAGCAGCATTTAACAAATTATGAAAACACAATGACTAATGTATGAAATGCTTTAATTAAATATTGTTTCTTTGAATAAAAAAGTGTAGGTACTTTGGATGATGTTCAAAGGGGGGGAAACAATAATGGTAACAAAGAACTAAAACTGATTTTGTTGAGTGATGGGAGTCAAAATAAATTTAAATAAATACTTTTGGACAAAAGGTAAAAAACAGCAAGACACGTGTCCTAATGTGTGTCCTCATGAACAATAACACAATATTATCCTGCATACTCAGCCTGCTGCATTACTTCAATAAAAGCCCTAGATTCAGTTGAGATGTATGAGTTGAATGCTAAGTGAGGTTATTAAAAGCACTTAAAGAACCATTAAAAACAGACAGATGGAGCAAAACCCCCTTACGGAAATATTCACGTATCTGCAGTTAGAGCACAAACATGAAAAACAAAGTTGATGGGACAAAGAGAAGCAAAAAGAGACTAAAAAGGAGTTGAAGTCTTCCCTACAAAGACAATAAAATTCATCAATATTGTGGCCACTGACAGTCAGACTTAAATTAAGATCCTCATGCTCGGTCATCATTTATATTGTGATGTGCTTTCATTCAAAACCATTAAGAAACTAAACTTTACAGACTCTCACCAGTGTTTAAAATCTTTGATACAGGAACATTTTGAAGGACACACACACACAGTTATTTGCCAGGAACTATATAAATACCCCATTCAAATCTGACTTTCAATGTCACATACCAAAAATATTCCTAATAACAAATCTAAACAGATTTTATACAAAACAAAGGCTGAATAAAGTAAACAAATAAATACAAGGAAGACGTACATATGTGTGAGTTTGCAGTGTGTGTGTGTGTGTGTGTGTGTGTGTGTGTGTGAGAGACTGAGTGAGAGAGTGAGTGTGCGCAGTGTGTGTGTGCGATGGCCACAAGGTGGTGTTGTGCAAAGCTACAAGATGGCCAATGATCTGGGAAGAGAGGAGGACGATGGGAAACAGAAGAGCATTAATGTTTGCCTTCTGTCCACTTAATTGATCTTATAGCCAAGATAGAGTAACGTTTAAAACAGTCTTCATATAGATTCTTTAGGATATAATCGTCGTAATAACAATACCTTCATTAACAATTTTATGATATCAAGAGTAGTAACAAGAAATGACTAAGTTCATCAGCTGAGGTTTTCAATGGCAGCCTCAAAAGAGGAGTCTCCTGCTTCGTAGTCTGTCGAGTCCACAAAAGTTAAATTTTTTGTTTTGTTTTGTAAGTGTTTGATGCCACCAGGACCAGCCTATAACTGAGTGTCAAAAATGCCCAAATCCATCCCCCCTCCCCACCTCCATCATGCTTACTCAAGAGTAGCTCATTTGCATTGCAAAAGTCTCTCTCTCCTTCTTCCATGTATTTCAGCGACACTTATCTGTCCTTTGATCCGGCCCTATATCATTCCCTCTCACTGTCTTTCTCAGAGGCGAGTCTGGGCCTCGGGGACATAGATTTCAATGCTGTCTGCACTCTCTGTGGCGGAGTTCTGGCGAAACGAGGCGGCCTTTTTAGCAGCCAGCAGACGTTTGCGAGCCTCTTGTCTCTGCTTCTCAGCCGAGGCCGAAGAAGAGGTGGACGAGGAGTCAGCACTCTTCTCACGGCCCAGCAATGGTCGTCCCTTACCAGGCTTCTTTGATGTTGGAGGGGTTACCTTCTCTTCGTCCTGTAGTGTTGGAGGTATGAAACATGATGGGCAGAGGAGGAGAGAGGGAGAGACCAGTGTGCAGAAGAGGAGAAAAGACAGATAAAAAACAGTGAGTGAATGTAATGTGGAAACTCTCTTCAAGAAGTTCTATTTGTTTTGCAGGAAGTTTGGCAGACAGGACTTTGACAAAGACATTATGCCAACACTGATTTTTTTTGTTAAAGCTTGAAATAACATTTAGTGGTTTTAGGTGATAAACAGAAAAAACACAGACAGACAGAAAAATAGGAAAACATTTAGAAAAACAGTCATTTATATGACAATTTTCAAAGACATGAAATGGTAACATGAATTAATGGGCATGTTGGATCAAACTTAAAAGCACAATAAAAGGATCACAAGACACACAGTCAATGCAATTGCATTGCAAAGCAACATTAAGCATTAAGCTCCTCAGCTACAACAGTTAAAAGACAAACATTTAAAAAAACACCGACACAAACGTATAAAGACACACCACAGACCAGAAACAGCTAGAAACAATGACAGAGACACACAAACACAAGCAAAGACATTTAACAAGAGAAGTAGCAAAAGCAAGACTGCGTTCAGTCACATGAGCTAGTGCATCTTAGCCATGCTCCACTCCAACACGCACACCAGTAGGTGACACATGCATGCTCAAAGGAGGGCTTTACATTTAAAAACACACCAACGACAGCCCTCTTTGAGATGAAGTTCTCCATGCATGTCTAAAGGGATCTCTCTGGCCCCTTTGTATTTGACAGGGAGGCCCTGTTAAGAGTTCATCCCACGCAGGGACGGGGAGTCGAAAGGGGGGTAAAAAAGAGTGGGAGAAATGGTGGTGGTGGTGGGAGGAGAGAGGCCGGTTTCGGCGGCTTTCCTACCCCAGCCAGGGCACTGGGCAGCAGGGGTGGGAAGTACCTTCCGCTCAGGGGGCGACTGGGCAGCCGCAGATGGCACGGGCTGCCAGTCATTGGACTTGAGATGGTAGAGCTCATCGAACTTGAGGCTGATGTCCTCGATGGAGAGCTGCAGTAGGTCCCAGAAACCAGCCAGGTCCTGGGCCGTGGGCCGCGGGTTGGCATTCACATTCTAAAACAAGAGATAGAGAGAGAGAGAGAGAAAAGGGATGAAAATGAATCAATGAATGATGAGGAGAGAGGACAGTTAGTTTTGCAGTGGACATATTTAACATTCTACACATGTAGTTTTGGACAAATGATCTTTTAAGTGTTTAAGTGTAAGTCTACTTTCAATACATGTGTATTTTCACCTGCAGAGATTGATCAGGTACATGATGAAAAACAAAACAAAAAAACATGGATAATCTAATATATACATTTTAGGCATGTAAAAAAAAAACTACACTTTATTTCTAAAATCGCTTCAATCTAGATGTGTCCATAATGTGAGACTCAGGGCAGAGGTCATTGTATCTGTGGGTCCCCACCACCACCAACCATCCTAGTTTCTGTGAGTCCTACTTTAAATGTTCATATTTGTTCTGCTGATCCAGCTCAGTCGAGGCTATGTAAAGAGGTTGTTGCCACCGCAGAAAGAGAGGCCAAAATCAGAATAAAAGTGTCTCCCTGCAGAAGCTCCGGGCTGCTTGGCAGACAGTACTGGCTGTATGTTTGTATATTTCAAATAAGCTTTCATCTTATTGTATATAAACTGCCTCAAAATGTCACTACGGAATTGTGTATTTTGCTCTTAAAACTTGTATGTGCCTGTTTATATCGTCTATATAGTCTTGCTTGTTTTATTGCTTTGCTTTAGGTGCGATTAGAGTGAAGGTGGTTCTGCAGCAAATTTACAGTCTATTTTTGGGGACACTTTGGTAGTTGACAGTAGAGAGATGAAGGAAACGAGCAGAAAAAGGTGAGGAAAGACATGCAACAAAATTCCCTGGGCCAGACTCAAAACCGGGAAGCTGTGGTTGAAAGTTGGATCCAGACCATCATGGCACCCCAACAAAGGTATTAACTGCCTTATTACAGCAACTTACTGTTACTGTGCTACACCTTAGCATTACATACTATGCTTGTCATACAGTGCTGCTTTTCTGATGTGCACCACTAGAGGGAGCCATGTTACAGCTAAATTCTTTTGTCAAGCTTAACATCGAAATAAAGGATCACAACAGAACTTTAATCTTTTTCAGTAACTGAAAGAGATTCAGTGCTTCAACATAGCCAAGTAAAACAAGCCGATGTGTCGAGCCAGAGAAATACAAAGGAACATCAAGTTTGACAACAAAAGGACATGTAATCATTCAGAATGCAGTTAAAAGTAGACTTAACCCCTTGCTTGTTTACAAACAGCTGCCTCTATGTTTATTGTTTGTGCAAAGCCTGCACAGATTGGCAAACAGATGTAAAGTGAATCCAGCTCTGACTTCTTTTCCTCTGTCAGCCACTCTTTGTAACGCTCCAGGCAGACTGGCTTTTGTTTGTGCAGGCTCCACTCTATTCTTCATATTTAAACAGCTGCATTCAGTGCTGCGATATCCAGACATCCAAACCAAATGTGCTATGGTCCTATCATGCCTGTGAAGTTCAGGAAATGATTCCTTATGATAATGTTCCTGACTGAGTCAATGTATCAGTGTATCTCCTGCTGAGCAGCTTTTCTGGAGAGCCACCCAATATGTGCAAAATGTTATTACAAGATGTTTAGTCATTGCAAAGTGACCTTACAGAGAAGAAAGCTTAGTCAGTTGGGAGACAGTATATGGTACAGTGATATCAATGCATATAAAGCATTAACTGTTGATTTGTGTAGCTAAGGCTAAATCATTTTAGTGAAACTTCTTCTGTGTGAATGGCACAGTTACAATGATAGCATTACAGTGGCTTAAAGTAGACAGTTTACATGGCCATTTGATTTTGTTTCCGAATCCTCTAGTGATCTGTCCTGTGTTGTGTTTCTTGCTATCCGACTTGAGCCTGATGGGCACTGATAAAGTATCACGTCTGGGTCGGGTCATTTTGTTACGTACAGCTTTAGGCTTGGTTTGGTTACCTTCGAATATAACTGATTTAGAAATGCGTCGCTCTCTCTCTTCTGGATTTCTCTGTTCAGTCAAGCTTATAGTGTCACATGCTATTTATTGGCTACAATTTGATTAATGCCATTTCCAGAAAACCATGTCACCCAAGAGGAATGGCTTATTGGCTTATTATAAGCTCCTTGTATTTTGTGCTTGTGGGCCACCATGCATTATTCTGTGTAGGACTAATAAGCTGTGTATCATGGCTGTTCTCAGATTAGTTAGTTTTCTTTTGTGTAAAAGCCTTCATGTGCATCAAGGCATGCATATCTTGCAGAAGACAGGATAACCAAAATATAACTTTGGGTTTGGGACCATGGATGTGAGTCCCAGTTTTATACTTGTGCAGACCTGTAGAGTAGAACTGTCACAGAAAGGCCATATACACACCAAGTTCTGTTCACACAGTCCCCTGAACTGCTGGAACTTCTGGGATATTAGGAGCTGGGCACTTCCTACTGCACTGCGAACCTTCCCAAGCACTGAAGAAAGAACAAAAATGGACACATTTATAACAGAGGCAAAACGTTATTCGAGCTATGGATGCCACACAAAAGTCTTTTCTGCTACAGTTTGTGTACACACCAATATCTGTCTATATCAAAAAGGTACAGCAACAGCCAGAACTACACCAACCGATCTCCAGCTTACATACATAACTCTGGTTAGATGCAAACCAAAAGCTTGCTGCAGGTGTCTACACATTTAGGCAGGCCTTCCAATGCATTGCCCAACAAACTCCACAGGGTGGCATAAAGAGGATTACAGTGTATTGGGCAATGTTATCCTCTTTAAAGGCATCTAGGCTTATATAGATACTCCAGCCTTCTGTCGGTTAGCGGTCACTATGCTGTTGCTGTGTCAAAACTAGGACAAACATCTGCCCTGACAAAATTGGGACTCCTTTCTGATCAGTGGATTGCAAAATCATGGCAGTGTGATTATAGTGTGGTGAGACCCAGCTCTGGGGTACAGATTTGCATCAGATTTAAACTGACTGACTACTTTACTACAAAAAGGTCACACAAACACATGGACTCTCAAAGACCCACAGAGCCTTATTCATACATTGATCCAATGCTTCTGATATGAACTGAGCATCCAAAGAACTTTCTACCGTTTGTTTGTTTGTGTGTACAGTGTGTATTTGTGTGTGTGCTCACTGCTGATGTTGAAGCACTAATCTAATCTGGAGGTTTAATCAGTTCCAGAGTAGATTTGTGTAATTCTGTGGATTACAGGCCTGCTTGTGTGTGGTAACCGCAGGTATTACCGCCTCATCCCCTCCATGCTATGTATGTCTGATAGAGTGATTGTAGGGCCTGAAGCAGAACCTTATAACCAAGTTCTGTTTTTGGGTTTTGGCCCAGACGGGAACAGACCTCTGAAAGAGGCTCAAAATGCAGGTTGTAATGAGATGGCCTGTACATGTTTGACTTCAGCAACACTTTTACTGTATATTTGGCTTTGTTCTGCCATTTCTGGGCCAAATAACTTAATTTTGGAGATGGTCATTCTGACTCACAAGTTAACTGAAGAGTAAATGTAACTGGATATAATCGAATAATTGAAACAGAAACAGATCAGACCATTACCATTTTTGTATTTCTGAAGAAAACATATCTTCTCTATATCTAACTCCATACTTCATCCTTTTTGAGTACATCGGTAAGGGTACAAACAGGATTGGATTGTTAAAATGATCACCACAGTGTGCAAGCTGGCCAGATTAACTTTGAGACCACCTTGTGCACTGCCTCACAATACAACCTTGCCTGGAGTTGGAAACTTGGAGACATGGAAGCAATTTAACAAAAAGACCTGGGGTTGTAGGGAGTGCCCTAGTAGCCTTACCCTCCTCTGAGAGCTGGTTGTCTTTGGTCTCCTGCTCCATCTGCTGGCACCAGCCTTCCATGCGTCCTGTTTCAGCCTGCAGCAGCTTCATGAACCAGTGGCCATCTCTCCGACACAGCGTCCCGCCTCCTCCGCTCTGGGGAACACTGTTGTTACTCCCATTCCCACTCTCCAGCCAAGGGTCTGGAGGTGGTAAAGACGAGGGGTCCAGCGCTGGGTCCAGACTTTCTGAGAAGGAAGAAGAGCTACTTCGTGTGGTGGAGCGGTTGAGGATCTGCCTGGGTGGCGGAGGTGAAGAGATGTCTCCAGTAGTGTCTCCATTGTCTAAAGAGTCCTGTCCAGGAGGGGAACTCATGGATTGGCTGGCACTATTGACCATGACTTTCTTCTCAGAAGAGTGTTTGACATTATTGATATGGGAGATGAAAGGGAGGTCCTGTGTGTCTGAGTCTGTTTCTTGTTTTGAGGCCATGCTACTGGAGCGACTGTGTCTGAAACAAACAGGGTGAGACTAATTGTTACAGATTTTCATAGGACAATTCTCATTTTGGCCAAATTAGTTTTAATAAATTATTCAAGATTGAAATCTCTACTCCTGGAACAAACATGCAATGCTTAGTTTTAACACTGAGTCACCTCTGCCGGTTGATATAGATTTGAATAACTATATTGACTGGGCATTGGATACATGATAAGAGAGCAAGCAGACTGGCATCAGCTAATCACTGGAAGTCTAGCGTCTTGGATTTACATGGCAAGTGGAAGAACAGGCCAAACATGAATGTTATTTGACTCAACATTATTTCCATTTCCTGTTATTACAGGAGACTCGCTTACAAGTGGCAATTCAGTCAGATAATTCAATATCATGAGCACTTGATTGAAGAATCTAAACCAATATTAGAGAAGGACAAGCACAGCAAAAGACTAGAATAGTACAGGGTAATCCATATTGTTGTAATTGTTAAAATAAACACAGTTGAGGGACTGTCACATAGCACAAATGTGCGTACATCATTAAAAACATAGGAAGAACAACATACAAATAAACAGAGAAACTCTTGTTCTACTGGCTATGTTGATAAAATATCAGACTCAGAACAGCTGCTACATAGAAAACAGTAAAGGCAGCATGCAAAAGTACAAAAATATAGGAGGAAGGCATGAGGCGGCCCAGAACTTCCTGGCATTGAAAGCGTAGAAGCACAGACTGTAAACTACGCTGCAATAACCTAGAAATGGGTCTCAAATATACAGTAAGGGGAGACAAGTTGAAATAGTAAATGCTCATGTAAGGAATCTACTTTCAGCAATACAACACATAAAGATAGTTTGCAGACATTCACATTGCTTTCACATCCACATAGTTCCTGCAAAGGGAAAGAATAGTCAGAGCAGTGTGTGTGGCTATAATGTAAATTCCTCACGTTGTTACAAGGACAGGAAGAGGACTTACTGCCACCCGTCCTCCACCTGTACTCCGATTGACTGAAATTTGGCCAATGGCGGGGTCTCCTCTCGTGGAACTTCCTGAATACAGTCAACCTTAGAACAAACAGATGTGGAAAACAAACATCAGTGACCAAGTCAAAATACTAACAGTGACACAAATCTTAGCAGGAATGATTTCATCAACCTTTATCGTCTCTAATCAACTTCACTGAGAGGTTTTAATTTTCCAAGTGGCAAACCAAATCATGGAAGAAAAACTGAAAAATACAGAGAAAATCTGCACAATTTTGTTCTTGGTTTTCAATTAAGTGTCCCTCTTTAATGGTTACCCTGACTGAGTCATGTTAATGTGCAAGGTCTGGAAAATGGAGAAAAGGAATGTTATTTCAGCACATACAGAACAGAAAGTTATGGTTTATGGGGGAACACAACTATGTATTTTCGTCCTTCTATACTACAGTACATTGCCAGCTCTAATGATAGAGGGTTACTTATACAAATGAGACCTTTAGCTTGCAAGCACATTTTTGGGCTTGAGGTGACACACTCAGACATAGCCATACACCACTGGGGATATTACTGTTAAAAAGGATCTTTTTCCTGGATTCAAGCTAAAAAAAGAAAACACAACGACTAGAGACTGTGTTCGTATGGGTTAATATGGGGCACTAATTCAACCATACCAGCTGTTTAGTGCAACAGTCCCATTGCCTACCTGTATGCCAATGGAGGACAGTTTCCGCCTCGGTAATGGTGCCACTAGGGGCTCCTCTGCCACTAGATTCCCTTTATGTAATGCTGATTTCAGGGATTCATGCTGGACAACTGAGTCACTTGTCTCAGTGGATGCATTGGAGGTGGTGGGGGCAATTGGCTCTCTTGGGGTGGCGATGGGAGTGGGAATGATGTGTGGAGGGCGGGGAATACCCCGGGCCAGGCTGTTGGCACGGGTGCTGTCGAGGCTGTCTGATGAGTTGCTATGAGCGTGGCTTGACTGGCTGTTGACCTCTGACCTCCGGTCCTGCTGGTCCAGGTAGTTGTCCTGGGCTGACTCTGTGCTGCTCTGTACTGTCACAGATATGTAGGGCTTGGAGGTTGTACGGGGTGGTACTGGCGGAGGAGCAGCCTTCTTACAGGTGGTTATACATGTAGAGACTAAAAGAGACAAGAGAGGAGAGAAATACAAGAAGAAAAGACACGAGAAAGAAAAAAAGAAAAGAAAAAAGGATTACAAAAATATGTTTTAGCACATTTGAGGCAGAATCATGTCTAGGCAGAGTGACCTCAAAACAAGAATGAAGCAATTACAGAAAATATTAAAATAGTACATAAAACAGCTTGAAGCATTGCCCTAATTGCTTATCAGCATCAGTCTAAGAATTGACTAAGTTTTCTCAGCATGTCACGAGAAGAAGTCTTCGTACTGTACATGAATACACAGGGACATTGTTGCATCTGTAATACCAGCAGAATCAGGGCGGCATCCCATAAAGCGGAAAATCAAATCAGGTAGGACAGTGAACAAACATACCGCTCCACACAGGTGACTAAATGAAATTACACAAACACACACACACACACACGCACACACACACAAACACAAACCACACTTCAAATCCTCGATCATGAGACAGGTGATGAAGTCAGTAAAGCAATTTGCTGACCAGCTGACTCTCAGGGCTGAATATGGTAGAGAAATTGAAGACATTTATCTAAACCACTCCCTAATGCCAGACCAAATATGCTCTGCAGCTATAAAGGAAATAATAGAGAGGTACACTAACCATAGAGACAGAGGAGATAAAGAAACCACTCAGACAAATCTGTCTAGTAAGAGGATTTTACTTTAAAACACGTAATTTAACTTACATTATACATTACATTTACTCCCATCCTCTAGAACAGTGATTTGGTGATTTCTGCTGGTGTGATATGCTGGAAAGAGTCAGACACTGATGACAGATGAGGAGCCACAAAAATGGACAGAACTGTTAAAACTATAAAAACAGCCACAAAGTACTTTGTTAATGTTGTTGACTTGCAATGCTCATTTATTTGCTCATACATTTTTTATACAGGGTTACGCTTAGCCCATCAGAGTGGGAACTTTGTGGGCTTACATGAAATCCACACAGCCCAAGTCCAACACTCAACATAAAATGCAGATTTTATTGTGCAAAAAAAGACAAACGTCTCCCTTCATTGCTCAGTCCTCTGCCTGTCCCACTACACTCTTTCACTACCAGTAGAGCCACTCATTCACTTATCTCATCTATCAAACAAACAATCAACTGCCTGGCGAATGCTTACTTTCCCTACGTCCTCAACTGCATCAGTCAGAGCAGATATAAATTGCCAATCTGTGAGCAAGAATTCACCCAGTGACGTAAACAGTTTATCTGAAGACATAATGCAGTTGAGGCATGAATCAGACATTGTACTCATTCATCAAGATGGTTACAAAATACAAATTAAACGAAGCAGACAGAATGCTCGTGCAGATAGATTATATAGAGTGTAATACTGGATCGCTAAAATCAATAATCTAAACAACTATAATCTAACATTATAAACCCTGTGTCTACTATGTGATCCCTTAAACAGGAAGAAAAAACACCTGTACAAGACCATAGATGAGGGTTTGTACCATTGACAGTATATATAAGGTTAGTACAGCGAGAGAAACAGACTGTACTGTATGGACTTTTGAGGCTGAGCATAGAGAAAATAAATGTATAAAATAATATACATGGGCAAAGTATGCTAACAGTATAGGCTTTCTGTTTAAAGACCTGTTATTAAAACAGACGTATAAATGATTTAATTTGTGGATAAACAGTCTATATTTGCTAGCATTGCAGGCAGTGTTGCTTACAAGCTTCAGTTTATGGTGCAAACCACATCTTAAATCAGGACATCAGTGGGACAGTTAATGCCTAATATTAACATCAACTCAGACAGTAAGCATTTCTAGAGACTGCTGTCGGTGCAGTACCACCAGATGATGGATATTAATTTAATTAAATGATTTTCCAATGAAATTACATGGTGTGTGCCTAATGAAGTCACTCACATACAGAACCCTAATCTGTATACAAGTGACAAACTGTACATGTGAAAGGACAAATCTCACAATCTACTGTGGTGTTGACTTTTATTGACTGGTGAGTGAGCCCAAATCTATTTGTAAAGGTCAGCCATTATGTACTCAAAGCTGTGGCGCTCAAAGGGTAAAAGCCTACAGAGAGACAATACATAATCACCAGATGAGAGGCATTTGTGGATTAGTAAAACACTCATAAATACAGAGATTGTAATAAATAAAAAAATCACAATTTCCCGTGGTGACACCCAGAAGGGTTGAATTTGAGATAAGAAGGAACTACATGAAATTTGATGACCTGGTGAGGCATGAAGCAAACAGTGTTTCTGTGTTGCTTCGCTGAATGTTGTGGTCAGAAATCTTGACAAGTCATCAAGGATTTAAAAAAAAAGCCTTGAAGCAAACATGTGAGCTGCTGAGAAAACACCCAAACAAAAGGGTTGTTGTTCTTTGTAATCCACTTCTTTGCTTCATTTCTAATGTAACCTCATCTAGCACGAAACTCACATGACCTCACGCATACCTTTGTGTCAGGTTAAACTTGAAGTGAGTTGAGATGTCAAAATGCTGTCAGTCAGCTATTCTAGAGAACTGTTTGAGCTTGAACTAATGCACCAAGACTCCACGGTCCTCGGTTTACCCTTATTTATAAATAATACCTTCAGCATACCTCAACTCCTTCACTCCATACCTGCATTTTCCACGATATAACCCTGAACCTGAGACACCGAACATCAAACTGCTCAGATGCACCTGAGGTCACATTCCAATGAATGACACTGGAGACCAACAGAGATCACACCCACAGCACACCCAAATTGGACTATCTCCAGACCTTGGCTGTGTCTTTATATCCTACACATGAACACCACAAAGAGGAGACTGGACACGCACACAGCCTTTCGGATGCCCGGCCCTCACTGTAAATAATAAGCAGAGAATACAAACAGCACTCCAAATGCACGAGGATGCATGCCAGTGCCTTAGCATACCGCTTTCCCTGGGAAGCTAAATGGGATGGTTTGATAGTCAGAACACACCTTCAGCTCCACAATGATGGGAACCAGTTTGCTATTCAAACAGCTTTTTGAATAGCCCCGACAGTCACAAGATAGGAAATAATTGTGTCAACCTTAACATCTCAGTGATATTCAGAATAGATCTAAGCCTCTTGCAAGACAGAAATCCAGTCTAACACATTTATTTCTAGTAACCTGCAGTTAAGCATCCATCATAGCTAAACAGCACACGCGACAAGCAATGGCCCATCCACCAGCCTCTGACCATCATCCTTGCCTTATGAAAAAAAAACCTGCTGACAGCTTTTTTTCCTCTCTGTCACGACAGAAATAGATAGTGGGCACAATAGGGTTGTCACTGTTGTGGCAGGTACCAGCTCCTGCCTCCCAGTCTGCATGATAACGGCCACTAACTGGGTGTGAGAGGTGTGTGTGTGTCTGTACACCTGCCCTGCAGTTCTCCAAGTGTCGCGTTATGCTTTCGTCATTCGGAACAGAATTCACCCTGATGTCTTAATACCACGGAATCTGCTTTACGCACCAAAAACAAGCCCCGAAATCATAACTGACGGCTGCCTCTGAGATTAGACAGAAGATAAAGTAGCAGAGATGGACACAATAAATGGGTCGGGCAAATATTATCTGCCGATTTTAGCTTACCACAAATATATGGACGCTGTCTATGTCGGCCAGTTGGAAACAAGAAACTGTAGCAGAGAAATACCAAAGATATTATATTTGAGTTAATATGGAAATGTCAGCACAGAGTTTCCCCACCAGAGAGCAATGACAAGTTTATTTTTAGCCATACAAGCAGAGTCTCTAGGTATGTGAATAAATGACAGTGTGCTGGTAGGTTGATAGGTCTGCATATTTGGTCAAAACTGCCACATCGCTTTATTTATCCAACTATTGGAGTGTGATGAAATTTGGTACATACATTCTTTGCCCTCTTCAGGACAATATGTAAGAATTACTGTTAATAAGGAAATGTTAGCACGCTAACACACTAAACTAAGATGGGGAACATGGTACGCATTGTACCTGCTGAACTCCTGCATTGTGATTGTGCTGTTTTGAAGCTTGCACCTCAAATAGTCAGGAGTGTGCTACTATCTTCTGATATAAGGATGCAGAAATTAGCAGTAAGTATAGTCTCAAAGAGGTGCAATGATATTCATTCTAGTTCAAGTTTAGAATATTCCACTACTGTACATATTTTTATCAAGAATCCCCAGATTTAAAGGCATACTTAATCAAAAATGCTGTGTTGATATTAAAAAACGTATATTGGCTGATATATCACTATCAGATATCCTAATTGCAGAGATATGGGGATGCAGTGACTCTACTAGACCCAGTTTAACAATGGCACACACAGGAGAAGCACATAAGTGAGCAGACAGGTTTTAAACAAGTTTGGAGTTTAACCATATTATCTACTGTTTATAGCTGTAGCTACTGCTTTTGCCCAGATCTCAGCAGAGACACTAGCAGCCAAAAAAAAAAAAAAAAAAATGAAGGTTACAAAACATTGCGATCTAGCTGATTCCTGATAAATGCCTGTTAAAGCCAGAAAATGCATCCATGGCAGAAACACAGGCAGATGGATAGTAAGTGGCACATGCTCTAATACAACATTTCTATGCTTACTTTACAGAACTCAGCAACACAAACATACACAGCTGTGCAAGCATAAAATACATCTTTGACAGTAGTACCAATGCTGACAAAGCCCTTCCTAAATCTACACCGTCATCAGTACCGCAGAACAGTGCTAGAAAAATGGTCATGAAGCCAAAAACTGTTGCCTCTTAATTAAGCCGAAATTTGTGTACAGGAGCTGCTCAGAAGAACTTACTGGTTGCTCAACAGAAGGGAATTTAGTAACAGAAACAACCAGACGCTTTGTGCCAAAATGTTTGAGTGGAATCTGGAGTGGGCACTGAACACTGCTGTTTTCAGGCCATCTGGACAGTGGTTCTGTTGTCCACTGCAAGGCCTGGTTCAAGATGTGATTTTAAAGGCTGGAAAACAATTAGCTGGAAGAAGCTGCAGCAGCTGAAAACAGTTTCCAACAACCCCATGACTGCTCTCCACAGACCAGAAGTTTTCCCATCACTTTATAAAACCAATGCTCCAAATATGCATCAGCAATGCAGTGCCATGCATAGTAGCATATTACATCTTTGCTGTATACTCAAAAATGTAAAACTTTGAAGAGAAGAAACTTTAACATGCCAGAACCCACACAGTGGTCTCCTCCCTTTTAATAGCGTTTGACTGTTTGCCTTGGGAAGACTGGAGAGATAATTAACCAACCACAGTTCCCACAATGACATCACTGTTGCTAGCACATCTTTTGAGACCTCAAAAATCCAATTTATCACAGGACTTCTGTTAGGCATTTCTCCTATATTGACAGGAATGTTGTAAAGTAGCAAACTGAGACACAAGGATGGTACTAAGACACACATGGAAAAATAATAATAATAATAAAAAAAGGTCCTTGGCATGCCATCCCATTAGGCATAATTCATTGAACAGACATTGGTTTAAAATGTTTAGTTTTGTTAATTTTAAAGGATCCATCCACTTATTGGGCTCATTACAGATTGCATAAATTCACTGACGAATCCCCTGATCCAATCTGCCGCCAATCTTACATATTTAATCCACTGTGGGGGATAAAACTGAGGGCAAATAAAGTGGTTGCTGTATCCAACGATGGTCAAACATTCTCTATAAATGTAGGGCAGCTGAAGCCACACTAAGTCTTGCTTTCTCTAGCGTTATAAAGCCAGAGGAACTATTTGACCAGCAACAATATACATTTTAAGCTGATTGGGTGAGGTGGTGCCGTTCTCTGGTCAGTTGGAGCTGAACAAGAAGCAGGAACAATGAAAGACAAAAGGTGGATTGTGATGCTCTATTTAACAGTTTAGTATGGCTTGCCAAGTTGCCTGCTGCCTGCCAGTCGACCCATCTGTATTGTTTAATCAATTAACAGCCACAAGACATAGACAACATTGCCTGAAACTAGCACCACTCCCTTGTCACGAAAGCCAACATTAATTAAATGCTCTCAACATCAGCCCTACAACATTGCATGGGATTTTCTATTAAATGTGCCCTCAAAATGGGATTTAATCCATGTTGCAATACATAGGACACAGGGACAAAGGTGGGACAGCCCTCAAATAATCCCCTGTGAAGGCCAATTTTTCATTTCAGCAAAAATACCAACAAAAAAAAAAAAAAGCAGCTATGAGGCAGCTAAAGGACCCTCCAGAGGACAACATGTTACTTGTCCTCATGTAGTTTAAATAGCACCCCACTTATCCTGACTCCCATGGTTGAGCATCACAGCCATGAGCGCACACACACAGTGGGAACATGCTCTTCTGATGTCAGCAACAGAGCACTTTGTACTGAACACATGGGAGGCTATACTCAATAATTGATACAGTAAAGAGTGCATCAAACAGCACAACTGGAAGCCTCATAGACCATAAAACACTGCAATGTTAGAGGCACAGAAAAAGCACCATGAGATAACGTTACTTATTCAAGAGCTTGAAGGTCTGATTCTCCTAATTTCCTAAACATCTGCATCTGACTCTTCATTGAACAGATCCTTCTTAAATTGAATGTAAGACACATCTGACATCTCACAAGGCAGCAAATGAGCGGTTGGAGTGTAAACGCTTCTCAAGTTTATGGTCAGTGGCACCTGCTGAAGTTTAGACTGTGTTAAAATCATTGCCCCACACACACACACACACACACACACACACACACACACACACACACACACACACACACACACACACACACACACACACACACACACAGTGATGTAAACCCATGGCTTTAGGGTGCTAGAAGAGCTAATGAATAGACAAACCGAGAGAGTTTCGGTGTTCAACGGTTTGGTCCAGTCACCAAACAAGCTAACGGCTACTAACGTTAGTTACGGAAAAAACTGTTCAGTTAAGCACTTATTACTATAACAACCGTCCCCAGCAAGCAGTCGGTTAAAATACTTACCCTGCTGTCAGGAGCAGACACAGTGTCTTGACTTAAAACTTGAAATATTTTCAAGGCAGCTGTAACCGGAGTCGGTACGCACCGTCGCTGTCAGGGCAGTGGGGAAGAAAAGCCGGGTTTGGTTGCCTTTTGTTTGTGTCTCTAAGCCCGAGGGAGGCGTGGTGGCGTGTCTGTTGATGCCTTCAAAGCGCCTCGGACACTCAATCTCCACAGTTTGATTATTGTAATAATCTGATTTTATTAACTTTTTTACTATTTCCTGTTGCAAAGAACAAATGCAAAGAACTCTATCCTCTGTGGTGTCAGTAGCTGTGTCTGTCTCATTCAGCAGAAGTCCTTTCTGTCCTTAGGATCTTGAAAAACTTGAAAACTTGAAAAACACTGGATACACGTAGAAGACTAATATATCCCACTTTGACTTGAACACACAAAACCCACCGTTGAACCACCAAAATGAACTATTGATATTGCACCAAATAAAATCATCAAAACAAGTCAGGGAAAAAAACCTCCACAGGCAGACTTTTGAAAAGGAGGGGGGGAATGTGTAAGGCTTATTTTCTCTCATCAGCTTTAAATTGTCAATAACTTGTCTTTCAGCAATATCCTTCTCGAAAGTGAAAAATTCTATCCACATGAAGGCAGCACACGCTCCACGGTCTATTTCGGAGACTGTGGTGAACAGCGCCACGATGTGGATGCTCTGTGGTAATAATAACCCAAGCAGATGCACATAGTGTACATCCACTCTCTAGTTCTGAACTCAGGGAGCAGTCAGATGTCAACAACCAGTACAAAGCTTCTCTGCCTATTGTGTGTCATCACACACATTCACAATTCCTCTGCTGTAGCAAATTCAACATCAAGGCAGCAAATTGCAGAGTGCTTTCTTGTGCTGCGGTGTCCTGCAATCATGTCCTGTAAAACTCCACAGCGATACTCATGTGAAGCAGCAGTGTGACCTAGAATCTCATAAATGCCTGTTCAACAGCTGAGAGGGAAAATAGTATCTCTTTTTGATCAAGTTTGTCTTGACAGTGAGTTTTTCTTTTCTTTTGTAGTCCTTGAAGTGGTAAATTGATAAACATCTTTTTAGGGTAGAAGAGCTGGTTTCAATTTGTTACCTGTGTGTGTGGGTAGGATGCGTGGTCTGTCTGTCCCCAAACGCTGTAGAAAAATTGCAAGCTGTTTCTCCTTTGGGGCTTTGTCCAAGCCAGTGGCTATCAGGTAAGAGCCAAACTGTTCTTTCCATGTCTTCCACTGTGTAGGAAGGTCGTCTAGCATGGGCAAAAGAGGCTGCATTTGAGCTAAAAAATTCTGGTGTGTGCTTGTTGGAGGACTAGTGTCCCACCCAGGACCAAGGCTATGAAGAGCATTCAAAGTAATATTATGGTAAATACAAATCAAAGAAAGAATTTGGCCTGTGTCTGAATCCCTCTGGAAAAGGGGTCACAACTTTTTAGAGATTCAAGATTTTTAATCGTCAAATAAGTAACCAAAACAGACTATATACATTGTGTATGTTATAAATCATTCAGATCTCAGTTTGGCAACACATGACACTGCAGGAGAACTATTTCCCCACTTTATCTGGTTTATGCACACTTTAGCAAGTGACTCACCGGTGCTGGTGCTGTAGGTGCGAACAGTGGCGTCAGTCAGAGGCGGTGAGCAGCCCGAGTCTATGGATGCTGTGTCGTCATCTTGGGAACAGCCAGCCTGGATGGCTCTAAGGTAGCTGTGGCTGCGTGATCGGAAGCATGTTGGCATGGGCAAGTCTGGAGGCTCTGAGTTGTCCTGAGAGTGGGAACGGGAATCTCTGAATGTGGACTCGGAGCTGCGGTCCTCATAATGATGACTCATTTCCAGGTCCCGTAGCTGGAGGAAGGAAAGGTCAAGATTGGTAAAGATGTAGCAGCGGTGTAGCACGGAGAACAGTACTGTATGAGTGGATTCATTTTGATCACAGTAGCTGCTCCCAGTGCCGGAGGTGACCACTTACTGCCCACTGAGCCCTGTCCATTGGTGATACACACTTGATGGGATGCAATAAAATGACACCAGAAAAGTCCAAAGATGACAATAAGGCACAATTAGTGCTAAACCCCAGTAAAACCAGCCCCCTGCTTCACTTCATGATGGGTTTCTGAGCTGTCATTTCATCTCTAGAATCATTTTCATTTTTTGACATTTCCTACAAAGCCTGCTGTACAAGAACTGTCAACGTACAGAAAATAAAAGAAATGCCAAGGCAAGAGACATCACTTTGAAAAGTTTTTACTGTGTTTTATGCAGCAACTGCAGCCATTTCTGAGACTTGTTTTGAAGTGTGAGAACCAGCCTCATGGATGATGGGTTTCATATTCTGTTGATCGACAGACACAATGTGTTTGTAGCAAAGATATTTTGATGATTCAGTGACTGGTGAGTGCAAGAGAGGTGGCACAAAAGAAAATGAAGCAGAGAATCGGGTGGTTACAGCTCCACACCTTTTTTTTAGACTAAATATTAAATGTTGGGTATTGGTGATTTTCACTTGTTCTGATTCAAATTAATTTTGTTATAGGAAAAAGTTTTGAATTATACAACTTGACCTCAACAAGTCTAAATTGTAATGCATATTAAATTTCTTTGGTATGCTGCTGTGCAAGCAAATTAAAGCAATAATTTCATATATTGGACGAATTTGTTGTAATGTAGTGACCTGTCAGAGATTGGGTACAAATCCTGTACTAATAGCCTCCACTGCCTCATTTGACTAGTTCATTGAAAAAGAGCAGAGCCATTTCGCATAGTTGTTCATCATCTTTGTGACCTTGTCAGTGGGAGGCTAATAGCTCTTATATAAGTAGACGAATTAGACTTAAAACTACCAATGTCATTCATTTGGCTTTTAGGTTCATAACATTAATATGAGATACATTTCGAAAATAAGGATTCTTTGTTCACTGGGAGCTCATTTTGTCAGTCATTCAGGCTGTATCTGTGAAAAATGCTAATTATACTACGGAAATGAGTGCTCGTAGCTCATGGCAGACAAAGGGGTCTTTGAAACACACTGGTGATTTGAAAGCAGAAATTTGCTTGGAGCTAAGTGATGTAAATTTCAAGCAAGTACAAACGCATTTAACTCATTAGAAAAATATCTGCTGAGCTAATGAGAGAAACAGAGACGCAGACAGACACAGAGAAACAGAAAATCATTAGTTGGCCTCTGACAGCTGACAAATCCCACATTTAATTCATCCCTGTCTGTCTTCTCAGGGCAGGTACTGACCTGTGCGATGCAGCTACGTCTGCCCAAGGTGCTGCAGGCCTGGCTGAAGTCATCATCATCCCAGTTTGGCAAAGACGAGCCTGTACCCCCAATGCAGTCTAGGTTGTCCAGGCTGCGATTATTGGAGAGCTCTCGGAGAGATGGAAGACAGCTGGAAAGGGGAGTAAGATGAGAGGGAAAAAAAGATAAAGGAGATGTATTAAGGATATGAAATATAAGGAGGTAAATTAAAGGCGTTGTCAGGAGTGCATGAGGACATGTTCGATGAAAAAACAGTTGATGGTAATACACGATGACAAGGAGGCGGAAGGGAAACGTGGATCAGCGAAGAAAATGAACGATCAGCAAAACCAGGAATTGAAAGAGAGATAAAAAGAGGATAATAATTCAAGTTATCCCTTTCATTTCCACCATGGATCCACATGTCATCTATTCCAATTTTATCTCATTTGAGCATCAATCATTGTAGCATCTGAGCATGCAAAGCCAGTGATGTCAGGCAACGCATGTAAACAGCTCTCTGTGCCATCATGGTGCCAAAGACAAAGAACAGATTTAGGTTTACTCAAACAGCAGCTTTAAAGTCATGTTTTTACATATTCTTTGTTGGCACACAGTGATAGTTACATAGCAGTAAGCTGCCATGCCATGGTCTATGGTCACAGATGTCCCCTCATTCCCTCATTTGAATAGTGTCAAACTCAGCTACTTTTCACCTAAAAGCACTGGGCAGATGGTATTTACAAGCTTAAGGGAGGCTGGCAGTTGTTGGCAGCAGGGTATGAATTTGGCATTTGGACTTGCCACTAACTTTACAGACATCTGAGGGGGGCAGTGCAAAGTCATTGATTGTAAATGATCCAATCAGACATAAGCGTTTTGCACCACACCCCTGAGACGTGGCTTACAGACCTATCACTGACCTGCTCATTGACCTGCCCAGCTGGTGCAGAGAGGACACACTGTGGAGTGGAGACCACAGGGCATCCAGCTCCCCCTGCAACAAGGTGTAATCCAGGGTTCTGCTGCTCACGCCAATCAGGCTGGAGCAGACCGGGAGAGCAAGGGGTAGCATGGTCAGGGATTGGCAGGGGGAGTAGGGTTAGTCATTCAAGCACGCTTTAGGAAAGAATAAATCCTTAAATTTCTAAACATAGACTAAAGGGATTTGAAATATTATGTGGAGGTGTATATGTAAGGTATGCCTCTGTCTGTGTTTCTCAGGATGACGCCCTCTTGTTTTTTTTTACATCAACTCTCCATCTCTGATCCAACCAGATATATTCCCACTGTAGTGTGTAGCGATATTTTGACACTGCAACCCCCAAACTTGAGGACAAGAAAAACAAGCACTGCTTTATAGAAGGTACTGTCACAACCATTAATATCAAAAATAGTTTATTATACTATTATATTATTATTATTATATATTTATTATATATTACATACATTAAAGCTCTTGAAAGTTTAAGGTATAGTTTATTTTTCTTTATTTTATTGTATGTCAAAGCATGAAAATCTGTGGCAAAAGACAAAAACATATTGAATCATTAAAATTCCATCCTTTTTTTGTGCAAATCCGTGCTGACAGTCGTTTCGGGTGGAAACTAAGAAACACAGAAACAATTTTATCTTAGACAGCAGATGTCACTGCTGCCAAAAACTTTTTACAACTTATGGGCATTGTGATTGTTCCTCTGCAAATGTGTGAAACCCTTTGAGTTCTTGAGTAGAGATTACAAAACATGGCAGTTTTGTCTTGCTTTAATTAGTTTCACATGGCCTTAGATACAAATGAAAGAATGTGAATGCATTTTCATTTTCATTTTCATTTCATGAAAGGGCACACTGAACTCTGCTATGTCCCACTGCACCTGCATCACATATTGCACAATGTATCTGCTCCAGAAAGCAAATAATTCAAAGACAAGTGAGTCACAGTGCCAGTCAGTTGGAGAAATGAGGCAGATTTGTGTTTTTTTACTGGTTGAGTGGAAACAAAAGTCAGTGTCATATGTGTAACTATGCACTAATGTTGTCGGTATCCTCTTAGTTAGACTGATGCTTTGTGGGTCCAACAGTGGGAAGGTAAATCACTGACGGCAGTAAGGCTGGCATGTGGAGGACAACAGGGAGTCTGACACCACTTAATTCTATGCGTGAGTAAGCGCACCATGGACTGTGTGTACTTGTGTGTGTGTGTGTGTGTGTGTGTGTTGTATGCATTTGTATTTTTCCTGCATACTGGCATGGTGTGATAGTTTCCTTTCTGTACGCCCAGAAAAGGATGAGGGTGGGACTAATTTATTTTCTTTTGATTGTTGAGAGGTTGTGCCAATCAGTATTTATAACTGTGTGCTCTTATGAGTGTCTGGGTGTTACCTGAAAATCAACACTTTTTGTAGCCACACATTTTATGGGCCCAAATATTTACTTTTCATCTAAGTATATTTGCATACCAGATATAACTTAGGCCTTTAAGGTACACATTAAAAATAAAATGTTTTTTTATTTCTCAACAGATCAGGACTTGAAATTTTGCTTACTGATGTAAACCAACCTTTAATAGTATCAGAACACATGAAAATGTCATAATTGTCTGATGTTAGTCTCTTTATTAAAATATCTGTCCATCATTTTGGGACTGATAGCAGGTTGTGTTTTAAATTTTAATCACAGGGCTGCTTTGGTTTAAATTTGAATCATGGGTTGTACCTTTGACATAAGGATGTCTCTCTCTCTTGCTGTTGAATACTAATATGTACTTCATGATAAAGCTCAGTCTGTTGTCTTACTTGCGTGGGGGTAGCTGGTCGCTCAGAGACTGCTGTGTAGCCCTGAGGTAGCTCTGGCGGCGAGCTGCAGTTTTTGGCGAGGGTTTGGGGCTTCCCTCTGAGTCGTCGCTGTCTTCCATGTCTCCCATGGCCTTCACATAGCTACCACTGCGCATCCGCCGACATGGGATTTCATTGGCACCCCCGCTGCGCCCTAATGTGCTGCTCCAATCACCCTACAGGCAGCATTAGGGAGATAAAATTAGTCTTTAGTTTTTTTTCACAATATATGTCATTACCTTATCACTGTATGAGTGCTCTTGATAGGAAGGATACATTTATATTTTGTAAGCATTACATTCACTTCGGGCCTACTCACCCTTCGTCCAACCTGCAGGTAGTTGCAGGTTAGTTCCTGTTGGCAGGATTTGGACTTGAGCATGGACCTGTCCAGAGTAGCTGAGCCCTTCTGGATTACTTGTCTCGGCTGGCCCATGGTCAGTGTGGACCAGGACCCTCCTTTCATATAGTCATTATCATTTATTACCATTCTTCCTGTTCCACCTAGTCCACCACCTCCTCCATCCCCAGGCACAGGAAGCGCCTGATACTTCATGTCATTGCTGCTTTTGGAGGAGCTGATAGTGTTGTAGCCACTGTGGATGTATCTGCTCTGGCCCCCCTGGCTGTCGTGGCCAGTTGGTCGCCCCAGAGTCATCATGGCCATGGTGTTATGGTAGCTGCTCAAATCGCTGCTGTCCAAATCGTCTGAGCTCCAATAGCCTGACATGTTGGAGCGTGGTCGTCGCTTGGCAGTGGCTTCTGATTTTGTACCCCGATCTTTACTTTTAGATCTGCGATTCTGCTTCCCCCCGTCATCTGTGCCAGATGAGCCTCCACCACTGCCAGTGGAGCGTCCATTGACATTTCCCTTCATGTGTTGGCTCTCCAGTGACTGGGACTTTGCAAAGAGCTTCTGCACTGAGTGTAGCATGTAACGGATGCGACCAGGACTGTCTGTGCGCTGCTTGGCGGCAGCAACAGCAGACGTTCGATGAAACTGCAACGTGCTGAACCCGTCACGGCCTCCAGGTAGCTGCTTATCGAACTCCAGAAGACTTGGTGGTGCCTGGTTCTTGGTCATGTGATGCGATATAGTTGCTGAGCCACTTGTAATCATAGGTGTTCGTCCACTCAGCCCTGCCATGCCCATGCCCATGCCCATGCCCGTTCCCATACCCATAGACATGGATGTGCCCATGGTCCCTGTGCTTATCCCCCCGATGCTGTCCCCTGGTGGGGAGAAGTCAGACTGGTCGTAGGAGTTGTAGTGAATCCTGGGGAATGTGCTGCTGTTGGACAGCTGGTTGTTGAGGGGGAGCATGCAGTCTGGTGGGAGGGAGCCTGGGTTGGCTGATTGATAGAGGTTGGGGTCCATGGTGCCATAATGGTCCATAGTGGGGCTCAGTAGATAAGGGCTGCGTGGCAGGGTGCTGGTCCTGTGAGAGTAGAGGGTGTCTGGATGGCCTACGGAAGGATCACAGGAGTCAGACAGGTGTCTGTTACGGTTGGTCCCCAACCCTTTCATGGTGGCGAGGAGGTCCAACCCTCTAGAAGACCCCCAGGCCAAGTAGAGATGACTGATGACCTTGAAGGTGATTCCTAGAAAACAGGGACAAACAGGACAGGAAGACACAACACAAGAGAGAGGAAAGATGTTTAGAACTGGTTAATATACTATACTACTGTACAAAACATGCAAAACTAGACACAGACACATTCAAGCTCAGCCCACTTATGTGCCAAACCAGACAACAAACAGGCTAGCTGTAGGGCTGAGGGGGAAATACTGTGCACTGAATGAACCAGCATTGCTTCCCACAGCAAACATCTGTGTTAAAGTGCTCGAAGTGGATTGAAAAACAACGTGTGGGACAATGATGAGCTGTAGCAAGTGGGCCAGGGCATACATTATAGGAAAATGAACAATTGTTGGCAGTCATCTGTAACTCCAGACACCTCCGCAGCTATGTGGGGCTACAGTACATGCCAGCAGTTAGTAAACAAATATCACAGAGGATGGGAAAGGATTAGAACTGTAATTCACACAGCACAAACATTTCCATTCATATGCGCTAATCAACTAATTGTGTTTGCGTAGAATTGGGTTTGTGCCCTTTCATAAGAAAACAGGAAGCAAACAAAAAAGTTTAAATAATGTACCTGCTGCCCCTACTTGCCTCTCCACACATCCTATAGGTTAGTTGTGTTACAAAACAGCCAAATCTCTGCGGAACCCATTCTTTCAGCTTGTAGCACTCTTTCTATGCAGATTACTCCATCTGTTTCTCTGTCTCTCTCTTCCTTCTCTGTTACTGCTCTCTCCTCTTCCCACCTCCAGTGGGTATCCCTGGCGCTGGTCACAGAGCTCCTGTCCTATCTTTGCATGGTGAGCCAAGGATGGTGGGCAGACTGTCATAGTGAAACCAGTAAAGAGGATTTGACCAGTGGGTGGTGGGTTGCAGGAGCTGGCAGCTACACCTCCTTGTCCTCCTTGTCAAGCTGTGCCAATGCCCTGCTTGGCAAGGCAGCAAGGGTGGTACTTGTCATGGAAAATGAGATGATAATGGATGAGAGATGTTATGTAAAGGAAAACCAAAGGTAATAGAAATGTTTATGCTATTTATGCATTGCCAGTTATATTCATAAGTGGCTCCTTATCCAGTGTGGAATAATCACTAACAGAAAGATTATATCTAAAAGAATGCCAGGGAGCTGCCATTAAACCAGTTGGTATGTTCTATTCCTCAATTACAATTCTGGTTTATGAGGAATATATGAATAAATAAACTATAGTGAGTGTCTATAAAATTTGTGATTTGTTTTTATCATTCCTGCTGGACTAAAGGCCCTTTAAGGTACCTTTAAATCTTATGTCCAGCAGGACCATTATTGAAACACTATTCAAACCTTCACAGTATGTATGCTGCTTCCTTATCTCTGTTGGTGTAGTGAAGTGAATGCAGTTTAATAGATTTATATTGTTCGTCTTTGGGTCTACAGGTTATCTGACGCCCCAGAAAGGAATCTTTCCTTTACTAAAGCATGTGGACCTAACCAGAGAGCATTTTGGGCCCTTTACTGCTTGTCTCAGCTATCACAAATGTTTCCTGAATCTGTCATTTATCATTAGTCTTGGCAGCTGACATGTTTAAATCAGCCCCCATAACTCAAATGTCAAATATTCAGATCACGCCTTACATATTTTGGTGGATATGTAATATAGTTACACCACATTTTCCTCTCAAATTCCTCTCCAAGACTGATAAATAGTGGCTGTAGTGCACGAAAGCAGGCAGTATATTAGATATAGATTGGACTGAAAAAAAGAATGATGTATGAATGATAGATGAATGATACATCTTGTCATTAGAGCCCTGTAGAGTTCCAGTAAAGAAAACTGATAAAGGGCTTAAAAACTCAATCTCATCTTCACCACGGTACATTTATTCTTAATTTATCCAGAGGAAGTCATCTAGGCAGGCCAACGACACCCTAAATTCATTTGGAGCTGCTTTGCAAAACTTCAGACTTGTACTTTTTGCTATGGGGTGTCCTGGGGGCTGGCAGTCTAACCATGACTTCCTCACATTGATTCTGACCAGGCTTATTGCAGAAATACAAGAGAGATGAAGTAGAGATGAAACATAAACTAATACTGAGTGGAGGAGAAATTATTGCCCATTCATTTCTCTCACTTATATCTTCCCTGTTGAGGCAGGTTATTTGAACTGTCAACCTTGCAGTGAGTGGCTTTCATTTCTAAAAGTTGAAAATCAAATTGGAAACTAGTCTACAGTCCCCCAAAAACACATCTCAGCCTGGTCCTACTAAAAAACATTGTTAACATGTTGTAGGGGAGGTTTCTTGCTATAAATCTCCGTGCTCACCTTCAGAGAGCTAGAAATCTGGAGAAAATAAGATAATTATATGTTGCAGTGCAGACAATAAGTGACGAGACGTTGGATAGCAGCTCACTTACAAGATTACACTTAATTCACAGCACATTGCATATTAATTGTGATTCACTGTTTTCAGAGAAGGTACCAAAATGTTTTGTGTGTTACCTTGCTTTTACATAATGCACACACACATTACCTCAACACACTTCTAGCAATTAGCCATTTGCAAAAAATCTCCATATAAATTATAAGCCTGGCTTTCATGCCACCATTATTAGCATGCTGCAGGCACAGACTCATTTAGTGTCATTAACAGAGCCTCTCTGAGTGTCATCTCTGCTGATAGGGTCAAATCCTCTAAATCCTTTTACACCACATTAGCTAACTGCCTCATATCCTGTCGTGACACGCCACTCAGCTAAGCTTAGCATACCCTCCTCAATGTGTCAACCAGCATGGCTCAAAATGACAGTGATAGTCGCATTATTAATGGAGGCAGGATTGTAAACTGTACACTGCCAGTCAAAAGTTTTGAACACTTTAGCACATTTACAAAATGTTGGCTTTTTTGTTAACGCTCTTGTGTTGTAGATTATTATACTCTAAAATGAGAAAACACAGGTCAGGTAAAGCTTTGAGAGAAATGAGAAATGTGTGGGACTTTTGTATTTTATTAGACATGACCTAGAAATGGCCTCTCCATCACTCTAATTAAGGATTTGTAGCAGAGAACATACTGTGAATTTGTCTTGCACTGGCTTTAATGAAGCTATTTAAGGTGCTGATTAATGCATAAAGACACACTCCATGGTTTTATATTAGTGACCAAATGGCCCTCAAAACCATTAATTTCTATTAAAACATTATTATAACTATTGATTTACTTTTTCAAATTGTATCAACAATGAAATTCCAAAACATTGTTTGAGATTTAGCCAATTTTTTTCAAATACATATTCATATTTTCACATATTTATACAGTGCTTTCTTCAGAGTGCTCTGTCATATAATGGAAACATTGGATTCAGTGTTCAGTGTGGGTTCAGTGTGTCCACTGGGCAGCTAATGCAGCTTTTTCTAAATGTTTCAATTCTAACATTGCCCTCTAAATAAGAATGTTTTAGCTTTAAGTCACCAGGATGACGCAACATGCCTGGAAGACACTGCAGGTAATATGGTTTTTATTAGGCAGAGCTGTGTGAAAATCAACCCTGGCAGCTAATATTTATGCAAAATGTATAAACACCGATGTCAGTACGTAGGACACAATTCTGCTTCAGTATCGCTGCAAAGTATAATAACAGAGGTCAAGAGACATTTTGACCCTCAGAAGAGAAAAATAAAAGAATTTAGGTCAAGCTTCTGCATTCGTTAGCTCAGTGCTGGACAGACAAGTGTGCATGTGCATCTCCGTCTGTGCACACAAGAACTTTAATGTGTCTGTGTTTGTGTGTGTTTTGACACCCTGCTTGGAGCGTCTGGTGGCAGCATCTCCCTGCCTTGTGCACTGGGGAGCTGCCATCTGCTCTTCCAGTGGGAAAAGGGGCGTTTGGCACTGAGTCCAATTCATGACCTTACTCATTCTCTCAGCCACCGCAATCTGAGAGCCACAGGCAGTTCATGCTACCAACCAGAGGAGGGCGATCACACTCAATACAAGCTCGACTGTGTTTCTGCCAAGTTCCATCACTTTCTGATGTTTTCATACAGCATGTGGGGAGGTTCTTACTAGTTACAGTCAGAATTTACAGAAACAGTCAGTCACAGACTCTGACAGAAAGCATTGGAAATGTGATGAAAAGGTCAGAGTGAATGTCAAGTAATGCTTATAAATACTGATTAAAAGTCCCAGAGGTACACCTGAACACCTGAAGCACTCAATGTCTTTTGTGATGATAAATCAGGGAGTGAAAGTACATGTCTAACTTGACTTTAATATAAAAAGTCTCCATTACAAGTGAATGTCCCACATCTTCCTTAAGAAAAAGTGTGTCGATATCAGAAAAAAGTAAAAGCCTTTGTTCTACAGATAAATTGCAACTGTAACTGATATTATTATATACGACATTATTAGATAATGCTGATGCTGCTAATACTGATGCATCAACATTCAAGCACTGAAGCTGGTTGAGGTGGAAGTATGTATATAGGTATTTCAGTCTAGTGGTTCCAAAAGGAGTTGGTCACCCTCCTTAGATAAGTCTGAGGGATCCTGAGATGATAAATGTGCGAGGAAAGAGGAAGAGCTAAAGTTCTGCAACACAAAGTTGGTTTTATTTATTTATTTGTTTTCCCCTGAAATGTGAAGTTGAAGTATTGTAGTAGCATAAAATGGAAATACTTGAGTAAAGTGCAGATTCTACAGCATATGAGTAAATGTACTTTCCAACACTGCTAATATAAAAATATAGCACTAGTACAGGGGAACAATTTTTGGGGGATAAAAATGGTTTTATTGAATCAAAGAAGTTGTTAAATAGCAGCACAAAATAGAAATATAAAATAAACTGGGATATATTTTTGATCTTCAAAAACCCAAAGTGGTTGAACCCTAATAGGATCTTCTTGTGTAATAGTACCTAACCATTTTAGGGATATGTCAGTCTTTGCCTAGTAAGCCTATTTATCTATGTACCATCAGTAAACTGCAAATATGTCTATGAGAAGCATTAAATCAAAATTTCATTCATTTTAATTCCA